TTCTACAAAATAGAGGTCGTTGGCTCAGGAGCAGTTGCTTCCATTGACAGATGCCAAAGTCAGTATTATTTTCAGCTGCCCAGTGTTAACATATAGTAGAACTGACAGGTACACAGCAGCCTATCACACATATTAAAAATATATTCCAAATGATAACATTTGAAGGTCTTACGGTAATAATATAATAGCAAGGCAGTAATTAAATCTCAGACTTACCCAAAACCCCAGCCATCAATTGCACTGGCAAACACTACATTTCCATAGTCTGGTGAGAAATAAAGATGAGAATCATCAGTATCTTCTAAGCCAGCACTCCAGTCATAAATTTGATCTCCTGCTGCAGAATCCGAGGCACTTTCTGTTTCTYTCTCAGCTCTTTCTTCCAGTACTTTAGAGGTAAAGAGTGTTCCTGTGACTGCATTGACCTGGGAGGGTAAGAACACGTTAAGATTTACTCATTCCTTCACAACTCATCCAACTAAAATGCAATTCAACACAACCTCACTAACATAAATAATAGATTGGTTTAACAAATTAAAAAGCCATGGTAAGGATTCATAATGCATAATCCATAATTTAAAACAGAAGCCCTTCTGTATCTAATCCTGTCATGTGAAAGTAGGGGTTTGATGATATTAACATCTGAGGATTGTCTCAGATATACGTTAYCATACATAATGTATTTTGTTCCTCCAAATAAAGAACGGTGACATAAAAACTCATTACATCCGACAGCCAAACAACAAACAAGGGCCAAAGAAAACCATGTAGACAAGTGTTTACAGAAAACTCTGAAAATAAAGTTTAAAGGCAGCTTAATTTACGGCTTTAAAGATGAATTAATTTCATTTCTGCACACACCCACTAGTATTTTCCTAGAAGATGTGTTTGATAATTCTTTATACTACACCATCTGAGGTGCAGAATGTGCATGGTGGCACTTGGTCTCAGGAAGCAAGGAAAACTGGTTCTGCTACCCTATATTTATTCCAGGTATGAGCCACTGAAAATTGCAATGTCACTCAATTGGGAGAAAAAGGGACAGGAGAAAAACAAGACAAAAGCTGCTGTATGAACATAGCAGTAGAGAGTGAATACCTGTTCCAAGATATTCTTCAGATGCATGTAAGCTTCCTGAGGGGTGAACTTGAGCTCCACAATCAAACGGTCAATCTTATTTATCACCAATACTGGACGGATATTTTCTAGCCATGCTTGCCGTAGAACTGCTTGAGTCTATTAAAAAGAAATAGTTTTTTTTTTTTTTTTTTTAAATACACTACACAATGCCACAAAAGCAGTGCAGTGTTAAAGAGAAGGGCAATATAATTCTAAAATGTAAATAAATTTATAATAAGGTCCCAGTTTGAAATGTCAGCCAGAACTTTGACTCACATAGTACATAGCATTAATACAGAATTCTGAAGAGACCATTTTTACAGCAAAAAAAGCTCCTCCTAACATATAGTTTCTAAGCCAAGTTTCAAAATCAAACCATGAAAAAGTAAAATATAACCATCACAATGCTTTTTTGAATAATTCTTCGCTTTTAATTCCCTGAACACACATAACAATATTATTTGATTCATTTTTCCTTTAGACATTTATTCTTCCCTATACAGATATTCCATTATCAGAAAAAAAAGAGATATACTCACTGCTTCAATACCACACCCACTCATCAATAAACATTACTTCTTTTTTTTTTTTCCAGTACAGATGGAAATAAAAAGAAACACTATCCTCTTTCATACCTATGTTATTTATGGAAAGTTTCACAAATTTTTTAAATCAGTTTAACTTATTTCTAACAACATACTTAAGACATATAAGCATTCTTTTGCTTACTCTCTCTTCTCTATCCTCTTCATGTATTTAATATACTTTATTTCACCTGTGGACAGACTCCTTCAACAGCATCCACCACTATGATGCAACCATCACAGAGTCGGACAGCAGTAGATACTTCTGAAGAAAAATCCACGTGCCCTGGAGAATCTATTAAGTTTATCAGATACTCCTCATCACCTAGGACCAAACAAAAAGGTAGTATTAGAAAACAGTTTTCAAAAGTATTTATTTCAGTCACTTGGTTATACTGTTTAAGCTACGAATACTAGAAACTGCAGTGGCAGTTATGCTTTCAAAACTTTCCACCAGGCTACTTACTGTGCTTTAAGTACAGAACCATACAATAAAACAGCAAAGTCACCAAAAAACACAGTACAGGAATGAAAATCTTGAAATTGACAGAACTGTGAAATGTAATAATCAAAGAATACTAAAGGGTATACATAAAAATGGAGCAGAAGACTTCTGACTTGCTTATTTTAAATTTTTAAGGTAGCTTCTCTAACACTAACATGGAACTTGACTATCCTGGTTGTCTAGGTCTTCGCGGTGTCACAAACTACATCAGAAAAATCTAAGAGTTGCACATAAAATATCTCAACAAGAAAAGAACAAAACAAAACAGAATGAGAACATGAGTAAAAATCTTGACGTTTATACGTGCCAGCATCAATAACCTACCCTTCTCAAAGTGCAATGAAATGGCACTGGATTTCATCGTTATTCCTCGGATCTGTTCATCTTCTCGACTATCTAGGTATCTCAGCTGAGTACAAAAGCAGAGAAAGAGGTGATAAATCAGCAGATTCATCTTCACAAACTGCCTCTCARCTGTCTCAGAGGAAATAAGGTCTAGTGAGACTTGAAACTTCATTCCTTGATCACCCCTGAGTTACCAACCCCAAGTACCTACACACCAGGATTTTGTTTAAAATTACAGCAATACTCTACCTTTCCTGCCAAACGGCTGGAGATTATCCCATTGCTAGAGATCAGGCAATCAGCTAAAGTAGTCTTGCCTGAAAAGAAAAATAAACAGTTTCAATAAGTATACACAATAGAGAAGGAKAAGACAATGCTACGAATATTGACGTCTACTGTTATGACATATAAAAAATAAAGGCTTTAAAAGGAAGGTACAAAACAGTTAAAACAATGACACAAACAATTCAATCTGACATACATCAGGTGCTYGTAATTTGTTTTTAGTAAACCGGGCACCACTTTAAGCAATCAAAAGGCAAGCAGCCTTTTACAAAAAGCAAAACCCTGATACATTATATAASTAGCTAAACTTAATATCCTGAAAAAAAAGCATTTATTGCGCTTCCACGTGTGCAAAGCAGTTCTACCCACCCAACATGCAGCTATAACACCTCACCCTGCGCACGCGAACCTTTAATTCATGTCAACAACCAAAATCAGCATTCCAGAAGTTGGAAAGAAAAACAACTTATCAAAAGGTAAGGCTCTGCGGAATAACGAAGGGTGGTTTGTATCAGGAAACGGAGGCCGGGGCATGCGGGCAAGTCGCTTCYCCGCCCCGTGGCGGGACCGAGGCACCCTGGACCCGGCCCGGTCCCGTCCCGCTCACCGTGGTCCACGTGCGCCAGGATGCAGATGTTCCTGATGCCGCCCGTCTTCCTCTGGAGGCCGCGGCTCCGCGCCGCGCCGGGGGTCCCGGTCCCGTCCCGCTCACCGTGGTCCACGTGCGCCAGGATGCAGATGTTCCTGATGCCGCCCGTCTTCCTCTGGAGGCCGCGGCTCCGCGCCGCGCCGCTCAGGACCATGGTGCTCGCGCTGCGGGCGGGAACGGGAGCGGGGCGCCGCGCTCAGCAGCGGGCCCGGCGGCAGCGCCCCGGCCCCACAGGACACGGGCCGCGGAGGGAGACGAACCCGGAGTCCGAACCTCGCGCGGCCCGCGTCTCCCTCCGCCGCGGCGGAGCACCGGGGTGGGGGGGAGGAGAGGGCGCCCCCACCTGCGCCGCCGCGCGCCGCACGCACCCGGAAGCCGGCAGCCCTCCCCGGCCCCGCCCCCGCGCGTGACGTGGGGCGGAAGCGGCGGCCGTTGCTAGGCGGCGGCGCGGCGCGGGGATGAGGCGGCCGCGGTGCGTGTGCGAGCTGTGCACGTGCGGGTGAGTGCGGGCAGGGAGGCGGCACGAGCCCGGCTGCCCCCCAGGGCGAACCGGCGCGCCAGGAAACCCCGGGAACGGCCGCGGGGGCTGCTCTGCGCTCCCCGAGCCGCGGGAGGGCGGAGGGGCCGCCGAGGGCTCGTACTCGCAGCAGCAAAGCCACAATCCCAGGTTGAAGTCAGTCTTAAAATCCCCAAAGCGGATGTGWCTCAGGACCAAGAAGCTGGAAGCGTTTTCCCCGAGCGTTCCCGTGGAGCGGCAGTCTCTCTGCCCCTGCTCCCACACGGGACATCACATCCGTGGCCCTACGTTACGGCTGTTCTTTGCCCCAGAGCTTTGCTTCAAAAGRCCTAGATGAATCAAGAGTTAGAGGTTTTTTTTTTTTATGATTTAATATCAAACACAGCTTAGGCTGAAGTACAGAGAGGGAGCGATAGGACAGTGTGACAGCAGAAAGCTACAACCCAACTGGATGCCAACTTAAATACTCGGGTTTATAATATCAATTATTGAATAAAACAGAAAGTTTAAACACTGAAACACTGAAAGTTCTGCAGAAAACAAAATCTTAAGAAGTTATTGTTTTAAGCAGCGTATTGTGTTTGCTTTGGCATAGCTACAGTGTTCCTGTGTTTAGAGGAGTACTGGTTGCTTGGCAGTGTTACCTGGACGTTGCAACACATACGTGTTCTAGAAGAGATTGCAAAGGGTCAGCACTTCCCCACCTGCTGCACTGCTGTTATCCCTTTCTTAAAGCTAGATTCCTGAACTATGAAAGCTTAAATAAAGAGGAAATATATTTCTCTGAAATATAGGTGGTTTAAGCTTCCGTACTGACCACACCTAAATATGCAAACCTRTATAAAACACTGAGTCTACTAGCAGCACAAGAGTGGGTGTCAGAGAAGAAGTGAAACAGGGTAGTTATTCTTATAAATAAGAGTTATAATATAATGAAAGATTAAATGAAAAGAGAGGAAAGTGTATCTTGTTGGCAGCATTGCTTAGAAGACTGAGATGAACTCTGTCCATTCTTCGTATTCCGCACTAAGGTACGGTGATACYGAGTGCTATGTGGTTAGGGTGCTGTGGGACCTGTGTCAGCGCCGTGTTTTGCATTTTCCTCTACCACTCAATAAAGATTTTAAACCGAGGCTACTCAGTGTTTGCTCTTCCTCACTTGTTACTTGCTCCCAAATAGGACATTTCCCTCTTAAATGAAACTATTGAAAATAATCCCACCTGATGTGTTGTACCCAGGCGCCATCGCTGCCCGCACAAACCCACAAGGATCTATGATACTGGACAACAGCCGTACCTCACAACCGAGTATGTGGAAAAATACCCCAAGTACAGCAACGTCTCTCCTCCCCAGAGCCTTAAGCCRAAGCAAGAGTATCAAGCGCATCGTGGCAAAATGGAAGGAATCACCACATTTAAGTAAACATTTTTAAGCTACATATTTTACAGCTACTTTGTATTTTAAAGATTCCCATATTTTTGGTTTAAGGGCAACTGCACTTTGCATTGCATTCATTTTTGAAGTGCAATCATTGTGTCTTTTGCTTTCCTAAGGTATTTTAAAGTAGTAGTAATGAGTATAAAAATACAATCACCTCAAAAATATCACCATAAGTAGTGAAGCAAATATACAAAAAAATTGTGTTCCTTACAGCATACTTTAATCTGTAAAGAAGGTATTTTTGTTCTAAATGTTCTAAACAATTAGGACTGTGAGAAAGCCCAATGCAGAGAGGTCACGAGGTCTGGCCCTTCAGTTATGGCATCAACTTGGCTTTTCAGCAGAAACATTTTAAGCTTTTTCTCCATCTAATAAAAAAAWTGCAAAAGTGATTCTATCAGAAAAAGAAGTTTTTAACCAGTGTTTCCTTTCTCCTCCATTCAGATCTGATTATTTACCATATGATATTGTGAAGCGACCATTTCGGGTACCAGAACAATATAAACCAAAGACCGGAGAAATACAACTGGGAACAACATATCAGAAAGATTATAATGCTCATAAAATACAACCAGCAATGATAGTAAGACCCTTAGAGAGAAAACACACTACAGGAGGAAAATTGGACACCATACCAACCTATCAAGGTAATAATATCTGCCTTCTTTAGAAGGACAAGGTAGTATCCTGAATCATGCAAGATATGAAACCAAATTTCTTACTTTAGCCCAGAGAGATGAATAGAAAGCAGGTGAAAGCTTTTAGATGTTCAGCACTCTAGCTGTTTCAGAGCTGATATTTAGGTTTCTAAGGGGAAGCCTTCTGCAGGTTTCCTTGGCTAGAAGGAGAGAAACTCCCATGTACGTGAGGGTATCTCATACATAAGTGGTGCCAGCTGAGGAGGAGCTAGGAAGTCCTGGAGGCTGTAGTTACACCTCCAAATATATTGCCCAGATGGCTTTAGAAAAAAATGTATTACGAATGACGTTGGAGTGATCAATGTGAAACCATCTCCCCTGTTCTGTGGTMTGGGCAAACTTCACCTGCCACTGCAGTTACCCGTAGTGTAGGTCAACAGCCTGTGCTGCATAGCTTGTACCCCAGCCTCCAGTTAAAAGTATGTAAATGTAGATAGTATATATTACCTACAAGAGGTGTCAGGATAAGAAAATCAATATATACCTGATTATGAGGACCAGTGGTATAAGAAAAGATTAAGGTGAGTTAACAAGAACCAGATATAGCCATTAAAATACAAAGTTAGAATCCTTGGTGTGATGCAAGCAGAGAAGGGATTGCAGTAACAGAAACAGAGCTAGAAGGATAGAATTTGAGGGAAAAAAAGGACTTATCATTTACCAGCTTATTTATAATTATACCTATGTATATGTATTTAATAAATGTGTATTATTCTAAAATATATTTATAGAGAAAGATGGATCATCTATTTAGCCTCCATATAARTACATAGGTGGTATAAAGTAATGACTAATTTAGTCTATTCTCAGTATAAAATTAGGCATGAAACTGCTTTATTCAAGAACTACCTATTTGATCAAAAGAGAGTATGAAGGAGTGAAAAACTGCTGAAACTAAAGTACAGTGATTGCAAATAAACAAATTGGTATTAACTCCCTGTGAAGAAGTTCAGGCTGGATACTGAGAAGTCTCTAAAAGATCATTCTCTTTAAAAAATAACATAAATTAGGAAAAAAAAAAGAGGCAAAGAAAAACAAACAAACAAAAAAAAAACTAACTAGCTTTTGCACTGCTGATAAGAAGAAAATGAGGGGTCATTGTCTCTACYAGCACTGAATATGGCCCAGGACCTAGACAGTTTCTTTTGGTCCTATATAACTGACATATATTTCCATGTAAAATAGAAGGTAGTATATCTATAACCTGTTAATAGTAATTCTATGTATACATACACATTTAATCTTGACATAGAACATTTTATTTTCCTCAAAGAAATAGCCCTAGCAGGTAATTAAGTAGAATTTTCTCCCAGTTCTATTCCAGTAATAGCAGAAAGACGTATTTGCCATGTCACAAACATGCAGATAACATTACCATTCTCATTTATATCCATTTCATTTGGATGGGGAGGGTTAATAACAAAAAGGGACTTAATTTTAAAGGAACACTCAATAATAAATATTTACACAATATGTATATATATTATATATATATGTATTTTGTCTTAAAGATGACTATAGGCTGTGGGGAGTTCAAAGAAGGGAACCTAATAAGGTGGACCACACATACCATCCACCTACAGAGAAGTTTGGGAATTCTACTACATTCCAAGATGACTTTGTTCCTAGGGAACTGAATCCCAGGAAAAGTTTTAAACCTCTCTGTATGCCCAAGCTTTCCGATGTACCTTTTGATGGCATTACCAGCCATCGCACTTCTTACATTGCTCATCAACTGGAACCAAAATTTGTGCGATCAAAAGAAGAATACAGGCCAAGCAACAAACCCTTTGAAGATCTCACAACCCATCGGAATGATTTTAAGGGGTTACCTGGGCAGCTTGCAAAAAGCTGCAAGCCTGAAAATACTAAAGTTGAGTCAAATGCTCATTTTAACGGGCTCACCGAATTCCAGGATCGTTTTCAGCCATGGTCAGTCTCCTTGCCCGAGGTCCGCAAAACAAAAGAATACATTCCACCCGCGGGGAACATGGATTTCCACTCCACAAGCCACCTTGATTATGTTAAACACCAGATTTCTCCTGTCGTCCCAATAAGACCAGTTTCTAATGGAAGAAGAATCGATGCCCCTTTCCAAGGGAATACTACCACAAAAGATGACTTTCAAGCTTGGGACAGCTGTCGGCAAGAAATTATTAAAAAACATGAGGAAATTCCAAAACCCACAGGAAAATTTGATGATTTAACCACATTCAAATCTCATTACACACCACATGAGATTATTCCAGCTCAAAGTTTCAAGCCTTTACACGTTGTGCTTCCCAATTCAGCTCGTTTTGAGGATGAAACTATGTACCGCACAGAATATACTCCAAAGAAACAAGAGATGTGCCCAGCAAATTATCCATCTCCTCCAGGATACATCTATGTAAACACAGATTCCCATGGTCACAAATTCTTCCGCCAGCTTACTCCAGAAATTTCTGAACCAAGTGGTAATCATGTTCCAAAGGAAATAGCTGTTGTGTCATGATATTCCGAAGTTTTATTTCAAGCAGCTTTTGCTACTGGTTCATTTTTCCTTAGATAAAACTGAGAGCAAAWCAAATAATGCATGTTTTGATTTAAAAACATTAAAACTAATAGTTCAAAGAAAATCAAAACAATCAGTGAAGTTTATTACCAGACTAACAAAGATTAGCCAATTTTTGTAGCAATAATAAGTCCTCTGGATTTCCTGGACTTTCCAGTTTTACTATGTTTTAKCTCAAACAGGTACATGGTTGATTTTTTTTCCCAAATTTTCATCAAATCAAATTATTTGTAGATTAACAAAAATATAACTTAAATACATTTTGATCATAGCACCTTTTTCATAGTAGAGAAAAAGGCTATAATTAACTGATCAGTAGCACCTTTCCTCTCAGCAATACTTCGAATGATCTGATGATTTTTTTGTTATCCAAATCCAGTATTGTAAGATAGCATCCCATRAAACCTAGACATTTCTAAAAACTTGGTATTTTTTCATTTCTTGTTTTCATTCATTTCAAAAGTGCCTAAAGTAACTTTGCTTGTTTTTCTTTTCACATACTCGAAATCACTCAGACATAAAACAGGTCATTAGACTTTGTTCCCTAATTTCCCTGATAGAGCATTTTTAGCSTCACTTTCAATGAAAACAAAGCTGATGCAAACACCAAGTATAGATGTCTCCTCATCAGCTCAGTGTGAGTTTAATCAAATTCCACAAACAGATTGCACAGATAATTGGTTTTCTGATTTCCTGATGGAGATGGCAAAGAAGATAGAATGGAGCTCAAGAATTAATGCCAATCCACAGTAGCTTTCACTCTTGCTATCTGCTTTCTAAAGCTGGGAATTAATTGCCAAAGTTCACTGCAAAGGCAGGCTGAAGGATGGAATAGCAGAAAAACTAAAAAGATATATGCAGAGGTAAGAGAAAATGTTAGTGGAACTCAGTTAAAAGAGATACCACAGCAGTCACACAAATCTCTACGCAGTCAGGATTCAGGCTGCCTGTTCTTTAAAGATTTGTTACAAATACACAGAAAACAAACTGTTTATAGAAATGATACATGCAATCATTATGTTTCCATATGAGGGGTTAAGTATTGTTTCCATCTTTATGTTACTTTTTTGTAAATCTAGATAAAACATTGCATTGTGTTCATGATCCAACTCAGTCTTTACAAATAGTCCAATGATTAACAAAATTATCGTGTTTTATCTCTGCAGTGCAGTATTTTTTTTTTTTTTTTTTTGCATTGCATATCTCGTACTCATTGCTATAGGAGAATCAGTTGGCTTCTGAGGAATTGTATGTTGATGCTTCATAAACTAAATCACCAATAAAAGGGCTAAGATCCATAGTGGGAAACTGGTGAAAGCGGGAAGCAATGCAACRCAACGGAAGAAAGCTGAACTGAGTTTATTAGCTCTGTGCAAGTCACTGCAGCTCCTCCAGTCATTATTAGGGCATCCCAATTTTTAGATGGTGTGTGTTCTGGTGATATGACTTTATCAGGTGATGAAAAGAACAATTAAATTAACTTCTCTATGTCTAAGATATTATTTTTCCCAGTTATTAAAGACATGTTTTAGGCAGGGCAACAAAAAGACAACAAAGAAAAACGTCGCCCTAACAGCAGGACAGGAAACATCCGATTCATTGTCATCCTTCCGTATCATAGAGAGAACAACCCGTGGAATCCCTGCTCTCCGTGAAACCCGAGTCAGTCTCTGCCAAACCATCCCCGAGGAGACAGTCGTACCCACCCTTGTATTCACCCACTCCCTGTCCTACACACAGCCGTGACACCTCACAAGAGTTTACAAACACTCCTAATCCTCCCAGTCTCCCTCTTCTACAAAGGCAGGAGGGCTCAACATTGAGAAGCACAACCTGAATCCACCAAGTAACACGTGAGCACACGTTATGCTGAAAACGGCTCTTCTGGAGCCACCAGTGAGCCCAGMTGCTTTTTGTCACTCGCAGCTGTTTCCATAGTTCCCCAAGTCACTTTTTTTTTCCCTTTCTTTCCCAGTCTTCAATTAGTCAATGCAAGTAATTTGCTGCCACCTACCAGCACTCTGCAATAACTTTTGATAGGAAATGGAGGGCATGTTCAGATACATTTAAGTGATCCTCTGCAGATGTGTTTGAGGATTTTTGATGAAGGGAAGAAAAGGGCAGGGGGAATTTATTCCCTTTGAGTTTGCCCTTGATGTTTTTCCCTAAATCAAACAGTGAAAGAGAGCAGGCTTTATGATATTGTGTCTGAAAGGGCCACACCCTGAAGATTATGCTTTCCGGAAAAGCATCAAATCCTATTTTAAAGCTTCAGACAATATCCAGTCTTCAAGGTCACTCTTGTATGAGCAACATTATTGAACTGCAGTCAAAATGAACAGCAGTTTGGAAAACTAGTATTTTTCCAAGTAACAGCTCTTAAAAAGCAGCATTTGATGATGTCACTCTAAACCAAGACACAAAAACGGAAAGTTATTAATGGATTCAACTGCTATTCTAAAAGTGTTTTCTGTACACTATATTAAAAAGAATAAAGTCACTTCAAAAAAAAAAAAAAAAAAAACATGAATGTGGCTTATTTGGATTTTGGCATAGAAACATCTCCTACACACTTTTTCAGTCAGTTTATCTCTTACATTACCTCTTAATAGCAGTGTGAAAAGCAGAGAATCTGTCTGATAAGCTCTCAGAAAGAACTAGTCTTAATTTTGAAATATATGGGATTATAGAAATAATAGGTACATAAGTAACACTTAGCTACCATGAAAATCACAGTAATAAACAATCTGTTTGTAATCATGCTGTTGAATAATCAAAGTACAGTTTATTTCAGAAATATCAAAACTAAGTTTAAGAAAGCTAAATATTAAACATCTTCAGTTACTGGGGTAGCAATAAAATAAGCTACAGAGGAATGTCATGCCAATTGCAAAAACAAACATTTACAGCACGGCTTCTGAATAGCATGCATACTTAACCAAAGACAAAATTAAGGCAACAGAGGAATGCTACGTGTTAACATTCAGAAACTTTAAATACGAAGGAAAAACATGAATAAGAAATTTTGGTAATAAGAAAAAATATATGTCCCAAAATCTTTATTAAACACTGTACAAAACAAAATATTGCACTTTTAAATCAGACAATAAATATCTACAAAAGTATCTTACAAATGTTTTTCTTTTAATTTAAAAAAAATGCTTAAACAATCAAGACCCATTGCTGAATAAGAAGGTAATGATCAGGAATATCTTCTCCTTGCAGTCAGCCTTGGACACGACAGTCCACTTTAAACACTTCCTATACAGTAGTGCTAATCTAATTCTCAGTGATACCAACCCTTTGAGTAGGAATACTGTTTCTAAAACTGTCCTTACAGCACACCCACTAATTACAATGCAATGAAGTTCAGTCACCTGTCACAAAATCCAAGTCAAGATAAGGATTCAGGCCTCCAGCATGTGCAGTAGTTTGGAAACTACAAAAGAAAAAAAAAAAAAACCAAAACAAAACAACTATCTGCTGCCTTTTATGGGGATGTTTGTAACTTTAAGCTCTATGAGACAATCTGCAATATAGAAAGCAATTTGCCCCAGGAATGTCACAAGCAGAATTTCTCAATTTTCAAAAGATTTTGAAGAGTCAGTGGTCATGATGAAAAACCCATCTTGACCAAGAACTGTTCAAAATGGATTTCTTGCACTTGTTCATCTTCATAATTAGTACTTCTTCCTTGGATTTCTTCCCCATTAATGCAAAACCAAGTATTTATTCAAGGCAAAGTTTGACAGTACGTTTGGCCAGTTATCAGCTCTCGTTCCCCTTTTGACTACATGCAAGAGAACAGTGCTCACAAAGGCTTCATTCACAGTTCTGACAAGGAAGCCTTGTGTCTAATTTAAAATCAGTAGAGAAGAGCAATCATGCCAGAACTTTGATTGTACTTGAGTGACTGGAGCAGAAGTATAGAAACGATGGAAAATGACACCTCATTTATTCAAAACAAATCTAGGGCCATTTTGAAAATTATCCCGGCATCTTCAATGCCTTTTATTGTATACACATAAATACAAGCATGAAAAAGAAATGTACTTCTGTGTATCCATCTGACAGCTAATCTAAAACATATCCTGTGAGACTGATCGTTAAGCTCAAGCTGTTTATGATAATGAAGTCACTGCCAAAAATTTTACAGCTACAAGCCACAGCCTCTATAAATTTAAGAATCACATTAAATATGATAGAACAATAAAAATGAGCATTGGGTCTTCAAATGATTTTGAAACTTTGGCTTTCTCCTAACTTAAGGACAGTAAGCACTATCTGGTGCTTCTCTGATAATGCTTTTTTTCCCTCCAGTAAAATTATAATGTGATGGCCTGTTAAATTTTACAGATGATGTGCCATGGTAGTATCTTCCTAATCCAGACACAAAAATGTTTAAAACATAAGAAGCTCCATTGCAAAAGAGTGGATAATAAAAGTTCCCAGAAAAAAAAAATACCCTGTCCAGCATATCAATCTACAATAGTGTTTTTTCCTTAGCCCCATGTATCCAGGTAACTGTTATAACTATTGTCTTATTTACAAGTATATACTTTGAGCAGGCTAGTTTAAGGAACCTCTCTTCTCATCTCTTCACTGCAGCATCATGAACTTTCCATAGAAGAGTTACACTTCTTGGCATGACTGACAACATCTTTGTCTGTAGATGTCTATCAAGCATAACTTTAGTTGCTTTACAAACGTACAGTAGTGAGTTGTATCCTTGCATTCGCCTTCTGAAAAATATATTTGAACATTAACAGGCTTTATAAAATGGACAAACGATAGATAGTAGAATTAGTAATTATACCCATAAAAAAAAGAAGGATTGCTGGTAGCTTGGTTTTATTTTTCATTTCAGACAACAGCGAATTCAAATTAAACTAGGTCACAAATGAAAGGCAAGATTTCACTGCGTTCACCTACTGCATATTGCAGAAAACTACCCCACCTTTCAGTAATTAGCAGCTTGCTCAGAGACTACTAAATGAGTCACAACTGGCACAGTCATGCAGGGAAGTTTGCAAAAAACAATCTCCTAAAATTCCTGCCTCTTAAAAAGTGCTCTTCAGGCTTTAATAGCAAACTGGCCTAATCATGGAGAAAAATACCCCCGGGATTATGAAGCGCTCCTTGGAGAGGACAGATTTACATTTGATGTACAATCAAACGCTTRCAAAGTCGTTAGTATACAACTGTAAGTCTCTTTCTAATATACCTGCTACAAACTACTCTCAGATATAAATAAACGTTTACATACTGCCACAGGATGTGACATTGCAGTGCTGCCAGGCCACTGGTCTCTGCCTCCATCCGCAATGCTGATCAGCTACAGGTTTGTTGCTCTTTCTGTGCACGCAGAACACTCGTCGCGACTGAAATCCATTCCCACAGTCCACACTGCAAGGCCTCCAAGGGCCCGTACGCCAGTAGACATCACAGGTCTCTGAGGAACAGTTTCTTCTGACAGCAGACCTGTGGAGAAAAGCAAATAGCAATTTAATATTTATTTTTTTCTATGCTAAATTCAGAGTAAATAATTGAGGTTAGATGAGACGTCTGCAGATTGTCTCGTCTAAGCYTCCTGCTCAAAGCAGGGGCAACTAGACCAGGTTGCCCAGAACCAGGTCCAGTCAGGCTTCAAGTATCTTCCAAGACAGCGATTTCACAGCCTCTCTGGGCAACCTGCTCGACAATCCTCACAGTAAAACATGTTTTTCGTTTGCTTAAGTTCTATTTCTTATATTTCAGTTTGTGCTGTGAATTTATAAAACTTGGTCTGCAGCAGAGCGTAGTATAAAGTGCCTTYGGAAGAGACGTAGTTCAGCAGCAAGAATAAAGTTATGGCAGATCATTGCAGTTTTGATTTGGATATGAGAATCCCAGCTCCATCATTTCAGTCCTAGCATTGATATTAGCACAGTGGAGGATGCTGATCAACTCCTTGGGATCCTCCTTGGGATCCTCAATTCATGCAGGATATCAAGGCAATGCCAGTCACTATCTTCTTTCCTTGAGTTTGATTCCCAAGAAGAATTTGCATATTTATACTGGCCAGACAATATGGTATCTTTACTTTGATCACCTTAAAGAATCTAACTTGGCTTGATTATCTTTGCAATATCTTTGCTTTAAACTGAGTACCTCTTTCTTTCATCACAAGAAGAGTTTGGCACCAAAGATCCATTACGAAGCTGACATAGARGGTGACCATGGTGTAAGCCTACGGTGCGGCCTACACAGCGACCGGAACACTGCAAAAGTGGGAAAAGGGGTGAGGGGAAAGAAAAAGAAACAAATTTTAATATGACTAGAACCTCCCTTCTGGGCAGTGAGGTGCATAAACCAGGCATCATCCTTGATTTGTACCTCTCCCTCTTCATCCCTCATGGCACCTCAGGTAAGGCCTAATCTTTTCAGTCCTCTGTGTTGACTTCTCACAGCTATTCCTAAAGCTCAGCCTATTGCCTACACCCTAATGGTTTCACATCTCTCTTGCTATAGGATTTTTTCCCTGCCTCTGACAAACACAAACTCTCCTTGCTAACAGCCACATCCGGAATGCTGCTCTTACAATTTGCTTAATTCAGCACTTTGCTTGTTAAACAGTAAATGCCATGTAATTAAAAATAATCCTCTCAAACTGAACACAAGTTTACCAGGGACATTAAGATGTGGCGCATAAGAAAGCCAAGTTCTGTGTATCGTGGCAGTTGCTTTTTGATTTTTTTTTATTTTCTTTGGTGACTTCACAAGTCCCGCCAKGCAAACTTGACTCTTACTAGGCTGCAGTAGTAGTAGTACACCAGTATAAATGAATGGAATTAGTAACTGATGAGCTTATAAAATACACTGAGTATAAAATTTGTATTTTTATATTACATTATACTTTGCATAAAATACAAAAATCACACAAAAACACAACAATAAGGTTCCAGATGAACCTGCAACTTACCGGCCCTTTAGCCTGTTCTGAGCGTTCGGTACAGGAATAAACCACACAGGGCTTCCTTGCCAGAGGGCGATCCCTGGGGATGCAGGCCCCTGGCCGGAGCGCCAGTACGCTGCCGTTGGCTTGTGTTTGCTGGCAGCTTATTTGTCGAGAGTGAAACCCACTGCCACAGGATGCCGAACACCCGGACCACGGGCTGGTGACCCACCTACAGGATGGGGAAGAAAAAATAATACATTGCAAATATGAAAGCAGTGCAAGTTTGCTGGTAKTTTGCAGCAGTCTGCAATAAAAACCAAAGCGGCTTTAATCTGGGTTATTTATTGTAAGTTGTAGTCAAGAATTTGATTTGAGAAAAGGAGAACGAGCTTTTCAGTTGTTACGCAGGATCATATGAATTTGGTTAACTGAAGCCTTCAAAGATACAGCATAACACAATCTATACTGACTGAATKTACTCAAAAGGTTATACTAGGTAAAATACTATTTCTGCAGGATTTAACAGCAGTTCCATAACTTATAATATAAATGGTACTGATTTGCTTGCTCTTAAGTTAATGTGTCATAACACATCCAAATTTATTACATCAAAAAGATTGTTAGATAATGGATYAAAAAGAACATTTATTTACTGATTACATGTTGCAAACATTTAGCCTGTTTTGGAAGCTGGAAACAATTCAGTGGAAATAGTAGGTGGTAAAATAATTTATTCTACTTAATCTCTTCATAAATCCATCCAGCAATAAGGAATGAGACTTTATTTGCAGCACAACTGTGATAACAGGACAAATATTCTATTCTCTTCAGAAATTATTTAGTTTTCTTATGGTCAAACAGTTTACATCCACTCAAGACAGATTAATCTTTTACAATCTGGAYTCTTGTCCTTCTCCCTTTTAGAGCTCAAGTACTTTGCAAATATTTGGTGCAACACATGCGCAGCAAATCAACAAGGCCCAAATTTGGCAAGCACTTGAGACAGACGTTAAACACATGCTTAAATCCCTATATTTGCTGGAGAGAAGTGGATTAAACACATGCATAACACCTTCAAATAACAGAGGCCCATGACTCTGACTTGCCATCTAAAATGTATATAACTCTATGGATGTGTTCTAAAGGGTTGTCTTGGAATTAGTGGACAGCACAGAGCTCAGTATGTGGGGAAATGGAATGGGAAGTCTAAGCATTTTGCACTTCCTTCCCAGCTCAGCAACCGCAGGGAAGAGGGGAGAGGTTGGAGGCTCTAGGAGCCAGAAACAGGGCTATTTCCCAGGCTTCTGGGAAGCCTGAAATACTTTTAAAAAGCCTGATATTAAAGAGTGGAAAGGGATTCTGGGTATACTAACATAGTACTGTTAACTATACCCAGAATCTCTTTTCCACTCTTTAATTCAATGTAAAGCCAAATTAAAAGCAAAATAAAGCATTTTAGTAAGGGAAAACTTAAGTTCCATTCTTTTCAGCTGTTCAAAAGAACTGCTTGATTTTTATGGTGATTACTCTGCATCCTGTGCTAAGTTACGCACTGGAGTCCATTAAAGACACGGCCTTTGCTTAGGGGGCCGCTGTCCTCAGCATCCTCGTAACTCTCTCTTGTCTGCTCCGAACGGCCAGACTTTAGAGGGAAGCCTGCAACTCGGTCTGTATTTCATACAACTTGCTCTATTTTAGTATTTTTCCACTGGCAAGAAGTTCACTTGTTAGGGGCTGGCTGTAGTTCAGACTCACAGTTTAGAGTGATCTGTTTTTTTGGCTGCTAATAATGAAATATAAACAAATTCCTCCTGATATTTATCTGTTGCTATGTTTTCTGCATTTAGAGCACAGAGTTTAGAACGTATTGGCAAGTGCACTCCCACAATGTCAGCTAAGGTCTTAACACTTCTCTCCAAAGATTTTCCAGTGCGGGACAGCTCCAAAACGTGTGCCTGACTTTTTGTCCTCGTGGATTTTAGGCTGCTGACACTGATGGCCAATCTTTGACAGCAGAGCAGAGCGCTGGTTTTGAGGATGGCTGTGGGATTTCCTGCTAAAGACCTAGAGCAGCGCCTGGCTGAGCTGGAAYGCTCAGTGCAGCCCACAAAATCCGGAGGTAAGATTTGGGCTTTTTGGAAGCGGAGGTTGTGGTTACATTTGCCTGTGAAATCCTTCTTCACAGCCCTCATGCTTTAGGGGTTCATGACAAAATAACCCCCGAATTTCAGCCTYAGTAACACCCAGAAACACACTCAGGCGTTTGGCAGCTCATTTTACAGAGCAATGTTAGTACACAGAGTAATCGAGTATAAAGAAGCTTACCTGGCAGGGCAGTCACGTGTGTTGCAGGACTGATAAATAACCCCTGGCTTTTGCTGGTCTTGGCATAATGATTCATTTACCTCCTGTTTCTCTGCGTTCATGCACTGCAGTCTTCTGGAGCGGGTTCCCGAATTCCCACAGCTAGCTGAGCAAGCGCTCCACTCCGCGTGCTCCCACTTATAACCTGGTCACAGGAGAAGAAAGGCAACTGAGAACTGGTGAGGGAAAGCAGCATCACACATTGCACCTGGGGCACACTTTGGTTGCTCTGGCCAGAGCCTGCAAGCTACAGAGGCACCACACTCAGTGATAAGCAAATATCTCAGCACTGTGGAAAGGGACCATAAACCAGAGCAGAATTTAGTCCTGCTCAGCTTCCCTCAGCTTCAGCTCTTACATATGAGCCTGAAATTGTCCAAAAGGCAAATGGGATCAGCACATGTGCACATGAAGGGCAAAACTTGGCTCACAGTAAGAACTGATGAACTTCTTTGAGAACTTTCATAACATTTTTATACAATGAGCATTAAAAAGAGGAAACTGTAAATCAGAGTCTGTARGTTTCCTGCGGTTCTACAGTAAGTTTATTCTGAAGATAGCTCATCTTACTCCAGACACTTCACATAATTTCATGATTTAAGAGAATCCTGTGCTAAACTATAGAAAAGGTACTTAATGCATAAATAACTTGCCACTGAGGCATCTGGCAAGATGAAAAAGGAATTTGTTTTAAAGAGCATTTTATATTAAAGAGCCATCACCTCCAACAATTACTACCTTTATATTTAGTCACAATTGCACACTTTCCCATCCCCCCCACTTTTTTTTGACACTTGGTAAAAGATGAAGTACTATGCAATGTTGACAGATTTTTATGTGATCACAGAAGGAGTCAGATTTTTCTGTAATAACCAAGAATAATTGATAGCTACCAGCTGTGTCCACAGGCTCGCTCTTCCAGCACATAATGAATCCTTTAACTTATTGTTTTTCAATGTTTCCTTATTACTTCTGGGTTTCTTAAAATAATACAAGAGGGCCTTTTTCAAAGTAGAAACAGTTAAATTTACTGAGTGCAACTATGATGGAGAGACTGGATTGTTTATTTAACTAGGAWGACACTGCTCAGAAGTGCCCTCAAAATGCCTACTGTGCAGAAACCATCAGAAGAGATTTTGCAGTCTTACAAACGCGTGGGTATTTCAGTGATGAAACATTTACAGAAGCAACAACCAGAGCTGAAGCTCATGACTGGAAAATGGAATTCCACCGAAGTACTACCAGCCTCCTGGGACAGTTACTGTTCGGGCAGCAAAGGCAGCCCAGCTAAACACTGCAGGTGGACAGTGCAGTGCTTGGCATTATTTTGATAATGTAAAAAGTACAGAAGTAATTTTATCTTATAAAATTATTTTGTAATCACTAACTGCACAACTACTGGAAACAGAATAAGTCACTCATACAAGTAGTTCAATGGTAGTCACTGAGAATACGTATACCTATGCACTTGCAGTGTAGAGAACTGCAAGATCTGATCTTACAGTTTTGAGTTTTTTGTACACAAATAGGAAGCCAAATAGTGCAATATATTGGTAGGGTGACAGATAAAATGATGAACAACTTCAATACATAAATCTCATTTGCATTCCCTAGGTATTGACTAGCTAGTGAAATTTTTTTAACGCCAAATGGAGTTCAGTGCTTTGCAGCCAGACTCTCAGGATGAATTAAGTTCCTCTTAGACATCCTTGAAAAGACCAGCAATTATAATGCAATTAAAGTTCGACAGCACCTTAAATATTTGCARACTACACACAGTATTTGGAAATGCAGCCCATTACATTGCTGGTGCAAATGTAAGATGCTTCTTAAAATCATCTACAATATTGTTTATTCACAGTTCCACACTTCATAATYCAATAATGACAATGGAGTTTTGTGCAGGTGCAGCATGTTAAAGGTTGAGGACTTTACAAAATGTCCTGGAAAAGCTAAAAGTGACATTGATAACGACTAGGTTTCCTATTTCCTACTGTGCAGATATGTTTAAGGATGACTACAGTATGATCGCTTCCATATCACCGAATAACATTTAAATGAGCAAACATTATTATTATTTTTAATATAATTAATTTCCATATACATCCTCAAAGTCTTTTTTTTTTTTTTTTTTTTAATCAGTTTGGTGGGTTATCATGATAACAATATGCATGATTTGCTCAGGCTTAGAAAATGGGCCTGGATTAAGCAACTGCTCAAGTAGCAAGGCACTGAATACTTTCCATGTACAAAAACAGGCCAGGGCTCAAGAAAACCTTTACACAGTGAAAGAATATAATATTTAAAAAATTAAGAATTTGTCATATAATTTTCAACAAACCTTCCTTCTTGACATTTACCCAAACTGACATTGGTTTTGCACTAGTTGAAGTCCAACATCTGTATTGTCCAGCGAATTGACCAGACTTGGTGTTCACCTCCAGGATCCGGCCCCCAACCAGRGTTCGGAATTCCAAGGCCGCCACTTCCTCCACTGGGAAGCCTCTGAAGAGCCAGTGAACTGCACTTCTCTGCTTGGAAAGCACTGGGCAACCTAAAAACCAGGAGCATTTTAGCAGGTTTTTCTGAGCAAACCAGTCACTTTAAAATGTTAATGAATGGGAATGTAGGAACTTAATATGTTTTGTAAAGACCTCACCAGCCTAAATAACAAAGAATACGTATAACCTCAGTAAAGTTATGGTACAAACTGATCCTTACTAAGTCTTCAGAGTTATCAGCTAAATAAGACATTTATACTTACCATAGTTCTTTATATTTTCCTTTTTAGTAGGTTATTAAAAACATATAGATGTTTTTATATATGGTTATATATGAACCAAGGCTGGGGGGAGTTTAATATATAAATTATATAATTACGTGAATGATGAGGATTTCACACCCAACTGGAATAGGCAGCAAACAGGTTTGTGAGGGGAGAATTTTTGTCTGTTTTGAAATGAGTCATAAACACTAAATGAAACTGCTGCACATCACAAGCATAAAAACRGATGGAAAGAGACATATTCATTTAGACAGAAAAGCCCAAAATAACAGTTCAAGGAAACAACTGGATCCCCTCCCACCATTTTCAATAGAGGTCGAAGATACTGCACAACTTGAATCTCACGGTGGGTCATTGATATCATGTCTACATCATCACTATTTCAGAATATTTCTTTTCTTTCATCTCTAACTCTGTGGCTCCTTCTGCTAACAAAAGCTGAGATAATCCTGGGACATCCAGGCGGTCAACAAAATTGGACCCTTAGATATCACACTCGCTGCCCCCATGGGGTCCTTTCCATTTTAACGACATTAACTACACATACAGTTAAACCACCAAAGCAAAACACACACCTATTCTCAGTGGATCTCCAGGTACCACACTGACATTTGTACCGATCGCAGATGCCATTAGGACTCGCTTTCTTCTGCTTCCCTTTGATGATAATGTGTTATTCTCTGTCAATGTTTGCTCTGGAAAATAACGTATAAAATCTCTTCTTACCAAAAGTTAAACCAAGGTACCAAGCAGAAAAGAAGSAGAATTTGGCCCTCTGCTGGCCACTCTAGACGGGTTAAATATGCTATTTAAAAATAGACCTAGATTTTTATTTTAGTGTCACATGATCAGAATTAGGAATTAAGTTCCTGTGAACARTCTTCCAGTCACACCATCATATTATCCATTATATTATTCCACTCTGGAAAACTGAAACTAAGCAAGCTGCTTCAATTTACACTCACCCTTCTAGAAGGGCTCCTATTATTCCTCTGGTGCATCTTTCTAAGCTAAAAAGATCCCAGCTTCCACAACCTACCCTACATGTGTGCTTAAGAAAGCGGGCTTTGTAGCAGAATTGGCCACGTGTAACGGTGCTGTACTTGGTACAAAAAAATGGTGATCTCTAGAGCTGAATGATCCATTTATGGAAGCTACTTGCAAGGCATGATTGTATTATAGAGTATTATATTATTAATCTACCTACAATAGAGCCATTTAAAAAGAGTTTTTAAGTTTTCTATTTTTAGCAGTTCCTACTCATACTACTTTTTTTTTTTTTGTTTTCCACATGTCTATGTTTTATTGGCCTCTATAATTTAAAAAAAATGTTTTTATTCCATTGCATTTCTGTGTAGATGTTTCTGAATAACTCAAGCCTGCCCCATTTTCCCTAAATGAAAGAAATGAAAACTCTGGGCATAGCGTAATATGACACCAGATTTAGTTTTCTAATCTATCTCATTATCTAAGGGCTGATGCTTGTTGCTTAGAAGCAAGAAGATGGAGCAAAATTTGAAGAAGTCACAAATGAAACCTCTTATGCATAGATTTACTACTGCAGGAAATATAAAATACAGAACAGATCCTGAGGATAGGGATGCAATAAAAATTTCCAATTTCCAAGCATAAAATATTTCACCAACCAGTTCACTGATAAAACTTCAAATATAAAATGTCTCACTGCTGTTCTCAGCCAGGAACTGCCCCGTGACACTGACCAGCTAAGTGGAGGACAGATGCAGCCTCTGCTTTCCCAAGCGCATTCGCTGCTGTGCAGGTGTAAGTTCCTGCATCTTCATGCGAAACATTCCTCAGAAATAAAGATGACCCATTCAAAAGCAAGACAGAATTCATTTGCTGGACATCCTTCTTCTTAGACCATGTTACATTTGGTTGAGGAACASCTTTAGGATGCAAATAATGAAAATACTTATTGAGTGAGATAAATCACAGACCTTTTATTGCTAAATACAACATAATAATAATATATCTAAGAACCATAAGTTTCTTTGTTATTTCACTAATACTGTAAATTAATGCAGCTAAATGAGTAGTTTTTCTACTCACAACAGAACTTCTCAGTTATTAAGTCKCTTAACAGTTCAGCATCCCATGTGAAAGGTTAAGGCTGTAAGGCAAGCCCACAGAACAGCTTTAAAATCCACTGCTGCTCATTCCAAGCAATGCAATGTGTCTGTATGTGTGTCTACTGAAAAAGGCACATTCAGCCCCAGGCTGGACCAGCCTCTGTGCAGATCTGCAAACCTTCTCTTCACTGAGCCTGCAGCCCAGATTACAYGGAGTGAATAAATATTACATTTCTAATTAAAACAAAGTAGAGAAAGAAATTGAGGCACAATGTTTCTCTCAAAGTAAAAGGATGTGTTTATCAATGAAATTAGAAAATATATGGGCCAATTTCTGCCCCCAAAAGACCGTGAAGACTTCTCCAGATAGCAGATGCTATAAAGACAAATTGCAGCAACACTCTGTGGGAAGCAGAAAGAGCTTTTAGCAAGTAAAGCAGGGGATGAGATATTCAACATTCATCTTTCATGTTACAGGAAGCCATCATCTCTCCTACTGTTAAGCTGGAACTCTCAGAAATTCAGTATCTGTGGATAACTTGGCACTCTGATTTTTTTTATCTATTAATGGCTTGATTTTTAGTTTTAATTAGATGACTTTTGGTGCGGCTTGGTGTTATCTCGGTGGGATGACTCGATTGTTGCTTCCCTCCCTCCAGGTATTTGCCTTTAGGAGGACACTTTGCGAGCTGCAGGTGGGACAGTTTATTGCTTGTGCTGCCCCCAAATCCTAAATAAATCACTGGGCAACCACAAATGCCCAGGGCAGGGGACAGCTCAGAGCGATTAACATGCTTTGTGCCTGCATTCTGTTGTCTTGCCTRAACACACAGCGCACTGAAGACTATCCGAAGGGGATCCATAACAGGACCTCACCTGAATTAGGACCCTTGGAAAATTTTGCCATATCAATTGCTAATTCGGTCTCCTTTCCTCACGGATCAGCGAGGGGTATTGCTTTACTGATGATGTCTTCATGATGTGGAATGGCCTTTCCGAACAACTTTAGCTTTTCARTCACGGGCTTAGCACATTCAATGCACACCTCAAGTTTTTCCTTTACTGTAATAGGAACCAGATATATTTTTTGGATCCTACTCTTTCACTGAAGGAAAAAGCTCCCCACTCCATTTTGTCTAGAAAGAGAGGGGAAAGAAACATTTTCCTGCATGATCACATATAACCTGGACAATTTTGCAACTGCCTAGTGCTTTTATACTCACAAGGTTACTTTTTTTTTTTTTTTTCAAAATAAAACTGCACTAAACAAGGTCCACAGACCTCATGAGGATCCAAACACGAGGCTGGCCCTCAAGCTTCCGGAAAAAAAATTAACACCTTGAAAACTCCTTTGGAATTAGGAAGAAGTCTTGTTTTAAGGGTGGCTATTCAGGGATGCACACACCGCACAGATGAGCTGGGGAGGTRGTGTGAGGATGCTGAGCTGTTTTAATCTCAGGCCTGGGTCTGCAGCCAGTCAGTGGCAACAAAATCCTGCAGACCAGTTAGTGCCAAAAACAGGCCAGAAGCAGAACAGATGGGAGCGGACGGAGGTCAAAARACTCAAAACTCACTTTTCCCAAAACACAAAACCATGAAAATGCTCGGAAAGATTCCAGTTTAAGCTTTTGTCCTGGGCCTCCATCAAGCTTCAGGCCAACCTGCTCGCTTGATACAGCATTACAACCCCACTCTGCTCTCAGCACAGCATTCACCAAGGGATCTCATTCCCGAGATTTAAGTAAACTATTTTTTCCTTCCAAATTTAGTCTGTATCCAAGAGTTTATCCCTGCAAAGTCACCGTGTCCCTACTCTTCTTGTCCGTCATTTCACAGACAAACCCCGTCGTTTCAGAGCCTGCACTGGAGCTCAACTTGCACAAGAAATCTGCAGAATAGCTTTGACTGTCACTTCAAGTTCAAAACTAGAGTATCTGTCACACACACCCCTAAGTCACATTAAATTGCTAGCAAGTAATTCCTCTTTCTCCCCCAAGGACCTCCATACAATTCTCCTTGGGGGGTGGAAATCATACAGTACCATATGCACTAGAAAGTAAATCAGGCCATTTCTCAAGTGAATAAAGTGAATAAACGAAAGGTCTAAGGAGCAGAACTATGGACAAAGCCGTGCGTGGCAGTCCAGCAGCCAGCCCAGTGAAATACCCAATGAAGCCATCCAGCTGCTGGCACTTGCAGAAATTGGAAAAAAACTATTTAAAATTTATCAGTTCATATATATTTATATATTTATAATATAKAGAGAGATATATATAGAAGACATAGCTGCATGCTAGAAAAGAGGGGCCTCTAACCCAGGCGAAGAGCACGAAGGGGATACAAAGCCTTTAGTTACGCATCCAGAGAGGCCCAGCACAGTATCAAGCCAAACCCAAGATTTTATTGGGGTGTACTCTCCCATGTGCTGATAGACACCCAACACATGGATTAAACAAGTAAAGCAGACAGGAGCAGAACGTAAAGCTCCTTCCCATGCTTGGGTGAAGCACCAGGTACCTTGCGGCTTCTCTGGGACAGCTTCAGCTCATCTGCGTGTTTACGGGGCCAGTCAAAGATCCTTTCCTGCCGTAACTCTCATGAAAGCCACTGACTTCCTGCACATACTGTCATTTCTGGAATTCCTATCAGGAAAAACCCTGACTGCTGGAAGACACTCAAGCAAAACTATTTTTAAATGTGCATTTACCTTTTTAATGGTCTCTGTGCTTAACAGTGCTTCACTTAAAATCCCTTCTCATAAGGCAGCTCACAGCACAACTCCAACCTGCAGCTACCATCACTTACATGCTTCTGTTGCATAAGCTCCCATCAGGCAGCTTTTCGGTACTTTCCCTTTAGAAGTCAGACCCCACGTTTACCATTCCTGAGATAAGATTTTGCTTCCCTAGTGGCATGCAGRGCTGTGCACCCAGTTAAATATCCCCTAGCAGCTCCTGGGGCAAGGCTCACAGTTCTCACATTCCTCTTGTGGCAAAACTCTCAGAACCACTGCGAATAGCACAAATTTAGCTGCACACACACGAAAACGCAGGATACTTCAAAGCTTGCCATCAAAATACAGGACTTGATGGGTAATTCACCCATCCCAACACGTGACTGAATTTTACTGCAAATGCCTGAATCTYCTTGACACAGAGTGATTTACCCTGCGACTCCCCCTTCAAGATCCTCTTTCATTTCAGGATTGTGTAGAGACTGTGGTTAAATAAGAAATATATGTTCAGGATTATTAGAAAGATACTTAACAGCTAATTCCATTCATTTTTAAAATATTTCCCTCTCACTGTTTTATTTTTATGCCCTCTGTTCTTCTGACTCTAAGATATTTTTACTCTTGTCACTGTCCTTTCAGGAACACTTTTAAAATGCAATTTTATTGTTCAAATTTAATATATGTAGGAAAGCTTCTATTGCAAAATGACTGTTGAAATGAATCGGAAAACACCAAATAATTTTAGAATCAGTTCCCAGACCTTCTATTCGAGAAAAAAAAAAAGTGTATATTCCAATTTGCAATCCTGGAAGACATTCCCTATCTCCCATTTCCCAAGAAAACACTACTTTCAAGTAGAAGAGGTCCTGGTTTGATCCCCAGCCAGGACCAAAAGGAGAAGAGGTAGGAGCTGGCTCAAAGCCACCTTTGTTGTCTTCATATCCCACCTCCATTGACATGCAACTGAGAATGGAACCTAAGACCCCCACTAACTGCCAATGGTTCAGAAACCCTGGATGCAGTTTAGATCCCAAGGATTCAAATGGGAGATTTGTCAGTGATTTCAGCAAGCAGTAGAACGAAACAGTTGTATCCTATGGCTCCAAGTCAGGAAAGCMCTGAAGCACACGATTAAATCCATTGCTATTAGAAAACGTGATTAAATACATGCCTAAAATTAAACACGGCTATAGTTGTACTTCATGAACAAAGATGCAATGCTGAACTGGGGCCTTAGTAGCCTTAAAAGAAAACCCTTAAAATCAGAATTTTGATCTTGCAATGTACCTAAATCCTCTGATGTTAAAAGTTCTACTATAGACCTAAGTAGCCATAAAACTTTAAAATTAGTTTAATCTATTTTTCTGACCTCAAACACAGGTTATTTTCCACTAGCACTGAAGCAGCTCTAAAATACTCAATGTTCCATGAAAAAAAGTCATTTTCCACCATGAGTGGCCCTGGGACAGCAAATGTTATGGAAAAAAGCTCCAGCTCCGGATGGGACTGTGAAACACATGTTTAAAAAAAGAAAAAAAAAGAATCTGCACTGTAGGGTGCCCTTAAAATATTCAGTGTTCAAAAACAAATTTCCTCCAACCTTGAAAGCCCTATGAAATATTACACACTATAAAAATCTTGGCCTACTAGCTAGTTGCTCTAAAACATTGGATATGTCTTCAGAAAATTTTTCCCCCAGCTTTGTAGAATCTCATAAAGTATTCTGTATTTCCCATTCAAGAGCAAGGCAGAACTGTGCTGGCAGAAATCACATTTTGCTGCACTTTCCTAAAAGTTTGCCTAAGTTTAGAGGCCAGCTTTGCATGTCATTTTTCAGAGGAAATGACTCTGGGTCAGCAGCGTACACCATGAGCGTCCTCTCAATATTGCTTCTACACTCATGGCTATGATGGAATTAGTGCAACTCACAACACAATTCCTTCAACTGATTCCTATATTTCTTCAACATTTTCCTATTTTTTCTAGCAGAAATTACAAAATTCCTTTACATTTATCTGAATTACGTTGGAGCAAATCAACTCCTAGACGGTGCTGCTAGGGAAATGACCGGCGCAAAGCCTGCCAGCTCCCGGGCAGTGACAGAGGGAGGCCTCTTGGCTCCAGGTGAGACGTTCCTGATCTTCCCCACTTTCCCACAGCCTCTCAGGGCTGCTCCCTCTGCCTATTCCTACCACCCAGGCAACAGCCTCCCTTCCTAAAATGCCGGAGCAGCTGGCAGGATTTAGGTATTTACCGACATCTGGCACTTGGACCATCGCATTTGCTAGTTTTCCTTACACTTCTACCTTTTCCAGCATTGCTATAATCTTTGGAGATGAGGTGACCAGATCTGCAAACAGGAAGTCCCATGGACTTAAACAGTAGCCAAATTACACTTGTCAGCTCGTCTTTTAGGAGCTCTGACCTGCCTTTATGGCCACCAGGCAGGAGGAAACGAGACGCAAACCAAGGCATAGGTGAGTGGAATAACTGTAARATTTGCTTCAAAGCTAACACCTCATCCTAGCTAAAAATCCTATAGACATGCACTATAGTAAGAAGAGGCTTAATAACAAAAAATTTTATATTATTATTATATACTAAGATTTTATATTATTATATTATKGTCTACACTACTAAAAATAATGCAGGTATACAAAATCCTGTTCTCATGAAATAAAGCTGTTCTTAACCCTATGCATCTCTGAAATCCATTATTAAATACTTTAAAATTATTTCAAAAAAACTGAAAAAAATGAAGAAGCAGAAACCTATGTATTTAATAGCTCTGTTTCTTCACTGACATGACTTCTGAGGGGTTAAACACAGAAGTCAAAGGACAGCACCAAGGTCGCATTTGGATTAGTGTGGGTAAATGAAGGACCAGATGGAAAAATCCAGCTGCTGGTTTGTCCAGACGTGCTTTGAGTCCGCACAGGTCCCTCTTTAGGAAATGTGTTGGAGGAGGATGCCCCCAGTTCACCAGGTTTTGCCRGCTGTAACCAAATCTGTATCAATGTTATTCTTAGAGAGCCAAAGCMCGTTCACTTGGATGAAGCTTTTACTCTTGAAAGTCTTTCATCCAAACCATTTCAGAGATGCAGTATAACGTGTGTATAACACAGTCTCAACGTGGGATATTTCTTTTCTTCTCTCTCACCAGCAGGCGGCATCCGATGCACATTTTACATATTTTTCTTTTTTTTCCTATTTTGCTTCAGCTCTAAGAACTCTCAAGGCTTCACAATAAATGGAGTCTGACAGTTTTAGTTTATTTTAGTAATAATCACAAGAAGATCTTTTCTGCAAATATAATAAATGTTATCCAAGAYCAATTTGGAGCAATCAGTATTGATATTTATACCATGTGCGTTGATTGAAACGCTCTTGGCTGTAAGAATGGAATATGAATCTGTCCAGAATGTTATGAATATTTTCTACCATACACTCGTGGGGGACTTATAAAAGTGAATTTATTATAATTAATGGAAATATACTTTTATTATAAATTTAAAGACAGAAAAGAAACAAAATAAGCTTCAGCAGTTTTGCTGAAATATTTTTCTTAAGGCCTGCCTTGATGTTATGTTATTTAGTAGGATACATTGCTCTATACTGTATCTGAATATTTGTGATTCTTAGAGTGTGTGAGAAAGCCTTTCAAGAGGACAGAAAGAAACCAACTAGTAACAACAAAACAAGAAAAAAAACCTGCTCAGCTGGCCAACTCTGCATGTAATATTAAACTTTCCTGTTCGATGGTTTTAACGTAAAGGACATAAGGTGGCCTAATGAACCCAGAGTCCCTTAAGTGCAATGCATTTGGGTCTCTTCTTGGCTATGAATGACTAAAGGCTGCATTGTACAGCCATTAGCTGGCCATTAGAGCAGGCTGAAAAGTAAATCTCTCCCTACATCATCATCTGCTCTGTACTTCTCTCAATAGTCTTTGCAGTTGGTTGGGTGGGCTGCTCCTGCTCACAGCTCTTCCACTCATTACCTGCTCCTAAATGAAGCATGACCTACCAGCTTTGTGTATATACATTATTTTCATATATATTTCAGAAGGAAAATTTCTGAATAGACACAGCACAGTTAGACACAAAATGCAGAACTCCATCTGTAGATTTATTCGCAAAGAAAATCATGTCTTGGACAGCTATAAATAAGGACCGTAGGTTATTTAACCTACAGAGAAAACTTCAAAAGTCATTGCAGCCAAGAAGTTCAAAAGTAATTAAAGAATCCTGCTAGTGGCACGGCACCAAGACTCTTCATGCATATAAGATACCATGTTCATTGGGTGATTACTCTGTGGGCTAGCAAGAGTCCAACAGCTCAGGTATCTGTCTGACATCACTGGAAAATCTGCACGTGTCAGGCTTGTCTGAAGAACATGGCAGCCTTACCTGCAGTACTTTGCTTAAAACAGAGGGTGAAGCTGTTATTTGCAGGAAAAAAACACATCTTTCTGCATACTCAGAGGACAGGGCAGTGAGAAAAAAGTGCTCTAGATCTAGTCTAGACCTCCCCACCACTACGAGATGGAATCTCTCTTAAAGCCACTTTGATGTTATAATCACTTAAGAGGTGGTCCTAACATTACCTACAGACCCAAGAGGTCCTCAGCTGGCCTACGGAGTCACATTACATGGCCGCCTAATGGTATTTTTAATCAAAATATTCGTTGTAAGGATTTACAGTGGGCTATTACTCCAGGAAGGTAGGACACTATTACTGTAAATCAACTTATCTAATGAGGAGAAAAAAAAAAAGAAAAAAGTAAAAAAGAAAAAAAGGAGCAAAAGTGGGGCTCTAGCAGACTCAGGTTACCTGCTCACAGGAAAAGAACTTTTTGAGTTCGAAGTACTAATACATTTTCTGATTCACTTTTCCAGAAATCAAGCTCTTRCAGCTCTGATAATGGCACAATATGTTTTACTATATAGCAAACTCTGACATATCTTTGTGTCTCTTTCTATTAGACAAACATATTAGCATTATGTGCTGTTAAGTTGTCTCCTGGAACTAAATTCCATTGTCTATTATTCTCGATTAGGGAAGGAAAACAGAAAAAGTGGGCTTATATCATTTCTTAAGTCTTTCTGCTTCTAAGCTAAGTGAAATTTTAAAACATACAAGCTCTGTTTTATTCACAAACAGTAATACTTACTTCCTTGGCAATGACAGGAAGTAAAGTAATTAGATAAATCATTTTCTAAGTCAACACTGGTGTCTAAGCATAACTGAAATTTGGCTCACTAACATACACAGTTCTAAAGCACTTGGAAGTCTGCAGTCCCATGTGAAAATATTAATTTATATTTAAAATTGCTAACTGCTCACCCATCCTAACAATATTAATATTAACTGTGTGACGTTAACTCTGCTAAATCTGCGATGTAGGTCAGTTATACACGGAGTTGCCAAACTATCCTTGGAAAATATTACTTCATCAAAGAATTAGCCTTGGTACAACAGTGAATAGCAGAGCCACATGTCCTAATATGTGTCAGCCTGGCGCCACTAGTGTATGCAGAACTATTTGCATACATTTCTATATTTCTATCAGTATTTTGGATTAATATCAACAGCCTCTTTCTGACATGTCCCCTCAGCAACACAAGTGTAAATGGCATGCTAACTTCTCCAGCAGTTTCAGTTACAATGTGCACTGTTTCTAGCTCTTTTATGCATCTGCTTCAACAAGGCATAAAAGGCTGACCTTCACCTCATTAAGTATTTGGCAGAATATTACCACTGTTTATTAAGTCTTCTGTTTTAAACTTAAAAAGCAGCAATGAGGAGATTAAAAGTAGAACTCCCTACCTTGTCCATACAAAAGAATAGAAAATAAAAGGAAATGGTGAACTGCTTAATACTTGTAGCTTCTGATCAGCCTAAGAGCTGCTCCACAGATGTTGAGCTAGACAATATCTACAGACTCTCATGGCTCGGCACTTCTCTTTGTTTCCTTACTGCAGCTGCAGACTGATGGCTCTAAAAGGTAAGTTTACTTCACTGTCAGGTTTAAAGTTCTATTAAGCTGTGGCTGGAGATTTCATTTTCAGTTTTAACAATAGTCTAGACATATGTGCATCGCAAATAGGGATAAAGAAAGTTCTCTGATGAGCAAGTCAGCTGGCTGTGCTTGCTCTTGCAGCAAGATAATCATTCGTTTTGGTGGGCTTTACGCTCCGCAGTGGAGTCCCGGACCATTTCATGGAAAGAAAAGTACTTTTAAAGGAAAGCCTGTTTGAACACATACACGTGTGTATAAATTTAAGTGACAGACAGAAGAGAAATACGGCTGGTGAGGTGACATACCTAATAAAAATGACTAATGAGTAATGATTCGCTGCATTTGCCCGTTACTTTTCTCAAGACACATGGTAAACTTCATATTCCAACGTCACAAGAAACGTCGGTAGAGTTCCTGCTTACCTTTCACTGGACATTCAACCACAATATTTGCTCCAATTCTTGCCACGACCATACCTCCAACGACTACAGAAAGATTGCTGGCTTCCAGATTTGTAACATTTAACGAGGAAGAGAAAATGACAGGAACCTCTTTGAAATGAAAAGAAAGAAAGAATCAGTTTTAAAAGCTTTCTTTGGCTTTTAAATGCAGACCAGAAATCACTCTGCAAAGCAGTAGCCAGAAAAGGTAGGTAGGCTCGATAGACTCTACTCACACTTGCTGTGGTTTTAGAGTAATAACAAGGTCTCGCTGCTACCTCTTAACTTGGACAGAACTACGTGGACTGCCATCAGCTCCCATTGCAATGGGAATGGGTGCCTCTGCAAAAAGAATAAGTGCCTGATCCCACAGACACCACAGTCTCACCTGCCCGGAGCAGCAAAGATGTTGCCGTGTCAAAACCGAAGTCATTAACAACCAGACATCCATATGCACCAAGTTCCCTTCGAGTAGGATTCTGAATCTGCACTTTTCCAACTGTGTCCAGGATTACCCTTCAAGAAAAGACAAGGATTACTGTTCTGGGAGAAACCCAGCTGCTAATGGGTCTTCTTGCAAGAGTTTAGAGGTARAGCAGCAAAATGTTTTTTAGGTGTTTATGGTTCTAGACCAGTGTGTGCAATAACCACCTGCCTCCCCTTTGGTGGCAGAGGSGAAGCAATAGGGATATACACAGAGAAAGATCTTTCAGATAAGCCCTGTCTCCTCCAAACTGCGTCCTCTTTGCAGCACTCTGGAGTACAGTTAGCTTGCTACTACAAGCCAGAATCCTCTGGGAGCAGCAGCATGAAGAAATCAGACTATCATGATTAAAAGTTTTGGCAGCAGATCCATTTCTCCAGAGCAAGCTTGGTTTTCAGCAGGATCGGGGAATTTGCAAATGTATGAGCTAATCTGACTTCCAAATTAGTGCAGCTTGAGATTTATGGTTATTATTAAACCTTGTCTGCCTTTGCTGCCATCTCAGTGGCAACACAAGGAAGGTTTCGCTGCTGGGGAAGAGGCTGGAGAGAGCAGCCTGGATGGGTCCAGCTTTTCCCCCTTGTCTCTTTTCTCAGATGCACACCAGTCAGGTACAGACAGAATTGGAACTTATATATATATATGTATATATATGTATATATACACACACATGTATATATGTATATATACCCACACACACGAATGTATGTGTGTAYGTTTGCACATTTGTGTATAGGAAATGTTACTGCAAAAAAAAATTAAAGTAGCAAAAGGAAAACTACTTGCCAACATAGCCTTTAAATGCAAGAATGTCATTCTGGGCAAAAAAATAGGGCAATTTATGAAAACAGGAATTAGGAATCAAAAAGTTACTCRTGAATATACAAAACACCATCAGGTCCCCCCAGTATCACTTGCAACAAATTATTGGGAAATTACACATAGTTTACAAAACAAACACAAGAAGTAGGAGCTACGTGGTTCCAAAAACATTTTCAYTTTTAAAAATAGCTTAGTTTCGGTGTCTTCGCTTTAATTGATAGCTCTACAGAAGTATATTTTTCTTGGCAGCGGGGTTAATCAGTTAAGTATGTTGAGAAATGTCCAAAAATGCCTTTATCATTTTAGAAGAGTTTTTTTCATTCCTCAAGAGCTAGCTATAACTCAAAGAGCCTCTCACACACAGCTAATGGGCGCAGTATCAGGTGAGCTGCTAGGCTATCGGCTCTGAAGTAGGAGTATTTGTGCAGTCTTGAGCAAATACCTGAATATCACACACTCTTGGCTTTACTTATTCTTCAGGTATCGTTGGGGTAGTAAAATATGTCATTTTGCATTTTAGTATTCCACTGTCTCCAACAGAAATATTTGGAAGTTAAAAAAATACTAAAAAGTCAGAAGTTTTTTCTTCTTTTTAAATGGAAGTTGTGCAGCTATAATATATATATATATAWAAWATATATATATATACACACACACATGCACATTGTTATGATGGTGAAGATAGCAACATTTTCTTTCCTTAAAGAGATAACTAAGATTGACTTTCATCTCTAGCATGGCAGAAGTTTTTAACATGGTCTCACTATACGTAGTATACGAAACCAATTCAATAGGCCGTTAAATGTGATTTAATAATTTTTTTTTTTTAATCTGATGCAGCTGAAATGAGTAAGGTGGATCACAAAATACACGCTTAGGATATCCACAGCTTTTCACTTAATGCAAAGATTGCACTTCCCATGTAATATTGTGGAAATGGACGTGTACTTAGACATTRGCAGAGCAAAACAATGCAACAGATACTTGAAACATAAATGAAATTATTTAAATAAAAAAGATGGAAAGCAGTGTTCACACATATTTCATTTTGCAACAGTACATGTTCTAATATTGCACAGCAGGGAAGATTTTAGCAGTTGACAGTGACATAAGAAATAATTTAAAAAACAAGAAAATTTACTTACTTCTCAGAGGATTTTAATGTCTCGCCATCTTTTGTCCAAGTATATTTTACTTCACTAGTACCYGCTGTCTCACATAACAGATTAACAGTACGAGTATTCTTGGTCACAAATACTGTATTTCCAACTCGTACAGTTACTGTTTTGTTAAAGGAAACTACAGGAATTTGCTTCTGCCTCATAATAACTGGAATCTTCTGGTCAAACATCAATTTATCGACAGTTTTTGCGCTGAAACGTTCAGATTCATTTGGAGATTTGCCTGTGACTTTTGTGGCAAATTTCTCATCCTGGGCCCCCTTCCATTTTCCAGCGGTTGGCTGTGGAGGCCTGGCTAGTTCTGCAACTAGTTGATAAATGAGCTGGGATGCCAAGTCRTCAGTGACTTCTCCGGTTTCAATGAGCTGACTCATGTTCCTTATCAGTTCTTCAAAGTGCACCGTGTCCATGCTGTAGGCACCCTGAAGAACTGCTGCTTCCAGGCGTTTGTTCTTGAATTCCCGAGAGCCCAAGTCTTCTGCTGAATTGCTCCCAAAGGGGCCCAGATTTCTCAGAAATGGCTGGTCATTCACTTGCCTGTCACCTAGATAGAGCTCGTTCTTCTTGCTCCACATTTGCCACATTTTGCTCATTTTATGCCACTTGGCCCCAAAGCTGTTGGCCTCGTTGTGGTCCATGTTACTGCTCTCACTGGCGTATTTCCTAAGACTTGGTGGTTCTATTAACCTGTTATCAGCACCAATAAGTTTGAGGACAAACGTGTCGTGCACAGAGCCTGCGATACACCGGTACACACCAATATCCGTCGCTTCAAGGCTATGTATTTTCAGGGAGCCCGACTTGGTGATGCCAAGTCTTTTAGAGTTCTGCAAGTGTAGCCCATCTTTCTCCCACCGAATAAGTGATTTTTGGAACCTCCGTACTGGGCACTTAATTACAACGGATGTTTTTGGAAGCAGGTAGGCTCGGCTTCCAATGGTGAAATTAATGCGCTTCTCTTGTCTTGTTTGAATGTAAACTCGGTGAACGCTGACAATCTGAGGCCCATGAGCAGAATATTTTTCTGGAAGCTTTGTTTTAATCTCTGAGGAAAAAAAAAGAAAAAAAAGAAGAAAAGTGTTGAAAAGTATCTAATCATTGGCAGCTCTGCTAACAATTCACACTTTTCACAGAATGCTTGGCAGAGTCTTTCCTGACTTTGCTCAAGTCAGATTGCAACATGCCGAGCTTTTATCCGCATCACAAAAATGCAAAAATGTGAACAACATGAAACCATAATATTCCTCTGCGCCAGCTGAGAAGCCTATCCTTGTTTTCTTCCAATCTCCCAACAAAGAAAAGCCATGGACAACATATACCTATATGAAGGATACRGATGGGGCACACATACACCCATGCATCTAAGTGTGTAATATAAAATCATACTATACTTATGTTTCCTACTGCTGCCTCAGAAAGTCTAGGCATACAGGGAGTGGGAAAAGCTGAATCAAAAGATTTAAACACATTATCACTTTCCCCACATTTGAGCCCTGGTGAGTGCAGAATGACCTAAATAAAACACAGCCTATCCGAAAAGAAAGGCTCTCGGTGACTGTTATTTCCCTTGCTGGCTGGCCTTGCTGCTCGCCTGACACACGGAAGGCAAACTGGTAGCAACACCGGAGCCGAAAGCAGCGGCTGCGGAAGACGCAGAGCTCACAGCRAGCAAAGGCAGCCGCTTATCACTGACCGCGGGTCATTTCTTGGGGTTGAAAGATGAGTTGCTCACAGCGTCGTGCCAGAAAAGTGGCGAGGGAAGGGAGGAAAGAGGGAAAGGAGTCCAGCCTTTGAGAGGTCGGGTGTAGCAGCCGGCTGAATTGGCCAAATAAAGCCTCGTGCACAGTGGCTACGGAGACGCTGGATATTCCAAGGCTCTTCCTGCATCCTGCTAAAGGTACGTGGATGCTGGGAGGTTTCCAGGGAGCCGCGTGAGTGGCCAAGAGCACCCACGGGCTCTCCCAGTGGTGGTGGCCACCGCAGCACCTGGAGACCGTGGGAGCAACCGCAGGACTGGGGACACCACTGCCACAACTCACTGCTGCCAGCTGCCTCCCCGCTCGGATCAGCGGGAATGACATTACGTCAGGAACACAGTGGGCGAGAGGAACAGTGCTGCGGTTGGAGTGCAGCAAGGCCTGCTCCCCTTGAGCTCCCTGCTGCAGGATGGAAGTGGCCAGCTGGGATTTGGGCAACACCAGGAACAAGTCCACGGCGCGGGGTGACCCAGCCCTTTGTGGCRAGTGGGGCACTGCTGAGCCTGGCACAAGGGGACAGCCCCACAGCGCCGCAGCCTGCGGCGACTGCAGAACCATTCGTGCTCTTCCACCTGGTAGGCGCCCACCTAAAGTGACAACCACGCCGACAGCACCAATGATGCCTGAAAATCTGCATGCTCCTCACATACATATGCTTCAAATATGCTGTGAAGAAATAGGTGAAAAGCTAAATGCTTCAAGCATTCAATAAGTGCGTACACTCCATGAACTACACCCTGGAGTGCATTCTTATGCTTATAAAACAAAATGGTTATTTTCAATGTTTTGGGTAATGAGTTCAGACCTGTGGGGATATCGTGGTTTCATAATTACACAGCTTTTAAATCAGTATTCGTTATCCAGATACACTGTTCCCTCAACCATTTTATATGGTACAACAAATAAATTGCTTTAGGCACCGAGTTTACTAAAATTATTAAAGTAGCGCCCTGTTTTTAATAAGTTATTGGACCCCAAATATTTATTTTCAGGGAAATGTTCCAGTATTAAATCTTCAAATTCCAAGTCCAACTTACAGACACAGTAAGTGTAACTTTAAACACACAAATTAAAATACTTCAGGCTGTGCTCTGTTTACACTAGTTACTCCAACATGGAACTAAACCCAGCACATACTTATAAATACGTTAACAAGTCTCATCCATTTCATTTTTCTCTCAAGTCAGACCACTAGCTCTCATTAGCAGCTCAGCACTAAAGGGTGTGTATATTTTTACTGGTGACTGGCGGACAAGGTTAGGAGTGAAACAAAGTTCAGAGCAGTGCATGGCAGGCCATGTAAATACATAAGGTCATATAAATAAGGCCACATAAGTATGAATTTTCTAGATCCTTAGTATCACCCAGGGCTGCAGCTGCTGAGGCAATGGGCTGCGTGGGAGGGTTTTGCTGCAAGGTAAATCTTGCCTCGTGAGGAGGTTGTGCTGGAGCTCTGGGAGCTCGTGGCGCATCCTCGCTGCGACCCCGCGGCGGCCGCGAGGCTTCAGGCGGGCGGCCGCAGGGCCGCACTGCTGCCATTAGCTATTTCTCAGAGCCCACAGAGCCAGGACCATTTCTGACTTAACAGGGCTAATATTAGGCGGAAAACAACTACAGTTATCAGTCCCAGAGTAGAAGTTCAAATCTAAAAAGCCCCAGAACCACCACGAGATGATAAGAACRGAGCAGCTCAGCTGAGCGGCGGAAGCAGAGTGCTGCGGAGGCGCGCTCCAAAACGCACCTCCCAAAGGATGCCAGGAAGAAAACCGTTCCCTGCACTCTGAGCAGAACGCGCACCACATGACACGTGTTAGAGGAGCCTCCTTCTGCAAAAACCAGGCTGCCACTGTGGGTACATCCATGCTCAGGCCTTCCCCTCCCTGCTGCGGGACATGGAGGGAATGCCAGGCATGGAGTGACTGCAGGAGCAATCGCGGTGCCCACGGAGGACAGGAGCGGATCCTCCTCTCCATGGAGGATCTGGGCCTCTCAGGGACAGGAGTGCTCCCTGAGCCACCCCRTGCCCTCCTCTCCTGGTGCTGGGGCGGGAGCTGACACTTACTTTAATATTGGTCTGTGCTAAGCAATTTGCAAACCMGCTACACTGCCATTCTACTATCCACAATTAATTAAATTCAGATAGATATGCAGCTCAAAATATTTTATTAAACCTTATGCCAAGGACATTCCTGAAAGCCCACAGGGCTTTATTTAAGTGGAGTTTTGAACCTCAGGATTTTGGCATGTTAATCTGAAACACAGTCCAGGAAAAGAAGTTTCATATTATGTATGATTCAGTGATTATTCTATTTTTTATTTTGTTTTGTGAATAACCTTTTAGGCAAAGTTTGAAAATGTATAAAATAACTATTTCTTTATCGTACTGTGAATTGGGTCAGAACGTGTCTATCCATGAGATCAGAAACAGGCCATTCATGAAGGCTGTTGGTCCCAAGCCTACAAACTGATACTCTCCTTTCTAACTTTCTTTTCTCCCCCTTTCTAAAGGATGGAGAGTGTAGGTTTAGAGCCTGCATTTAGAATGGTCTCTATGTATCATCATTCCCATGCACAAGAAACTTAACATAGATGAGTAGAATATTTCACTGGGTGTTTTGCATGTGCAATGAGTGCAAGTGATATTAGTATCATAACTATGTTGTGCCCAAATTGTACTATTCCTATAGAGAATCTTTTCTGAATAGATTCTTATGAAAGGAGTAATAGACTCTGGATTTTTTTAAAGGCAGGATTTTTTCAAGGGCTGTCTGTTCCCATACTGTCATCACTTCCTGCAAAGCTTATGAGACTGGGATCCTCATTTGTGTAAGGAAAGATAGAAATTATACCGTAAGTTATCACTGGCACAAGGTCTCAAGTTTTGAATTCCACCAGCCTAAGCAAAATGTCCAGTGCAATATGAATGTAAAGCAAAAAGACAAGCCAGAGCTGGATTCTTATCTTTTTTAATGTCCTTTGTAATTTATACTCAATTTAGGCATTTTTTGCACTTGGGAGAGTGTAGAGGATAAAGCCAAAAACAGACCAACTGTAGGTAAGTATGAAGGTGAAGGCATCATTCAAGTATTCAGAATCTACCTTTTTAGACCACAAAATTTATTTTAACTGAAAAAAAAAAATCTCTCTTATTACTGGTCTAGCAATTACAACATTCAATCTATCCCAGCTTAGAAAAGCTGTGAAAGTGTAGGGAGATGAGTTGAATAAACAGCTCATATATAGATTCTTAATTTACATGTTCAACCCCAATCAGTAGGAAGCTACACCAGGTAACATACTTACTGTTGCAGGCCTTCATCTGACAAGACCTTACAAGCAGCGAGGGAGACGGAGCGCTACACAGCGAGGCATTCAGTGTGAYGTACTGGCCCTTTGCTGTTAGGTTTTGGCAGGCGGCTTTCCTGCGCTGGATTCCAACACCGCAGCTTACTGAGCACTGTGAAAGGAAGGATGCAATCAAGCCACCCTGCCATCCCGCTCCACACATGCTAATTTTAAACTGGTGTGTGTGTGTGGACACACTAACAAGCTCTATTTCATATGAATCCTGGTACTACTTAGGAGGCCATTAAAGCCTCTTCACTTTTCCAGGGACTCTGAATATAAGACAGCTAATTTTTTCCAGCAAACAGCTCAGGAACAATTAAAATAACATGACGGTATTTCTGCATGTCTCACTGTGGGCAGAGGAGAGGAATGAGACCTGGCCTTCTAACAGAAGCAATTCAGCATGTTCTAAACAGTCTGTGTCACGTCTTTCGACCCACTCTCCTTATTTGTATTGCACAGACCTTTAATAGTAACTTCTAAATAGCTTGTTCTAAATCATTTTGGACAGAAGTGGTGGCAAGCTTTGATTAAATGGAAAAGAAAGAGGAAGTACTGTAGTATAATGTGAAGAATTGCTTTTCAGAAATCCCACTATGAAATAATTAATAGCCAAACACGTCTGCCAGAAGGTAAATTTCAAACAGCATCACATTATTTCCTTCAACAATTTAAACACAGCTGAAGAAGGGTGATGTGATTAGTCTGGTTGTAGGCAGGTAGCTACATTTGCAATCTAAGCAGGACAAAGGTACAGAGCTCCTGAAAAGATCTGCTTTCTCGGACAGCCAACTTTCCAAGCACTCCTTTCCATTTCATTAACTGCACTGGATGAATATGCACAGTTTAGTCCTGCTACATGCTTTGTGAAACCTTCAGGTACCCTATGAACTTGTTAATTCTATCCTTTTCCTAAGGAGAAATCTTTGCTGTTCATGTGGCATTGGAAGGTTTTGGGTTGCACTTGTTACAGGCTGCTCACCTTGGACCATTCTCCCACAACTAGCTGAGGAGGACAATCAACCTTTGCACATGGTTTACTATCGGGCAATTTAGGTTCCTGGCAGATCTCATCAGGGTGTTTCAGAAAACTTCCATCTGTCAACAGCTGCTTACAGTACACCTTGCGGCTCTGAATCCCTCTTCCACAGGTACGTGAACACTAAGGAGAAGAAAAGGACACAGCAGTTGCACTCGCATGGATATCTGTCCTTGTCCACCACACTGTTACACACAAACATGTAAGAGTCTCAGTAATTATTAGAAAATGACATTTAGTCTCAACTAAAAAGCAAGCAGCACACAGAAAATTCTAATATCTTAGTCAAACATTTTTAGCAGATGAGTGGAGAACCTAACTGCTAAGGTAGAAGTCATATCACCTAGATGCTATATATTAGGAGAAATCATTAAGAGAAATATGCATCTTATACATAGATCTGACTATGCTGAGCATCAGTTAATATATATCATCACTTAGCATACCATAGGGGAATTTAGGAAACTCTGCCCTTGCACAAAAACAAGAACAAAAAAGGGGACACCTCCAGAAGTAGGTTACAGTATTTTGGGGAGTATGAAAAGAGAAGTGATGCCTGGAGCAACTGAGATCCAGCCTCCTGAAACCTTAAATAGGACTTGGCATCTCACCCAGAGGATACTCATTGGCACAGTAGTGCCAAGTACTATTTTTAATTCTGGCTTAATTTGATCTAATGAAACCAGTTGAAACACTCAAATGTTAATGTTTAGGAGCTCTCTTCAGTGTTACTCCAGCTACAGAACTTTAGGTTCTCGGCCAGAGGAACCCTGCTTACATTTAAACTACTTCCATAACCCAGTCATACCTGCTGCCATTCCTCAACGTGCCAGACAGGGGGACAATCTATCTGGTTGCAGGCCTGTAACGAGTGGGGCTTCTTGTCTTTGCAGTCTTCAGCAGCAAGAGCAGATCCTCCGGGCTGCCGGCAGGCCACGTCTCGGGTCTGAATCCCGACGCCGCACGTAGCCGAGCACCGTCTCCACGGRCCGCTCTGCCACCTGCACCAACAAGGCAACCGGGAGCCCACAGTTAGCAACGTGGAACAGGGCAGGAACCGGCATCCGCATCCAGGGACAAGGCAGCACAAAATAACTGCAGGCACGTTCATTGAAAACTTAGGCTGAAAAGCAAAATTATAAACCAAAACTATGAACCTGTGTGTAATGAAGAAATGAGTAACTTGTTTACAACAAAGCAATTAAGAATCTTTGCAAGCAAATTTGATTCCAGAATTTATTTTCATGGAATGGTTGAGGTTGGAAAGGACCTCTAGAGATCATCTAATACTCATTAATAATAGGAATAAAAAAAAAAAAAAAGCTTCCTCTTGGCAACCTGCTAACATTTACATTTATATATGTAAATATGACCTTTCTTACATTTACAAAACTTTCTTAAAACGTGTATACATTTCCTATAAAACATCCTGTTCCTGTTAACTTTTCTTCACTACATTTTGGAGGAGGAGGAGGTTTCTGCAGACATTGTGGAAACAATATGCTAAGGATCAGTGCTGCCAGAGATCAAAAGCAGGTAAATAAGGCAACACATGTCAAAATTCCATATATGTGACCAAATTAGCCAGGTTTTCTTGGATTTGCACTACTTTTGTTCTTTTCTTGTTATCTCTGAGCAAACAAAGAATCCATCAGAACTGTATATGTGGCTCCTTACAAAGCATGAAATTAAAATAATTTCTCATTTAAAGTATGATTTAATGGCAATTATTCATTCTGTAAGGATACAAAGGAAATATTCCTTATTTTTTCTGAAACAGTCTGCAAACTTTCCTCGTTCCACCCACAAGAGCACATGTCGCTTTTCCACTTTTAGCAAACGTCTCAACAGAAGAGATTTATTTCGGAAAACGTTGCCTATTTTATTAGTGACATGTGAAGTGCAGAAAAGCAGTGAACAAGACTGAAAAAAACCCCCATCATCCAACAACCGAGGTAAAGACAGAGGCAGTGAAACTTCATCCCCAAGCAAGACCGCAGTCCTGCAACGTGACCCTTTCCTAGGCAAGATTGGGTTTATCTAAGCCACGCTGCCCGTGGCTTTTCCGCCGGCGCAGGTACCTCGGAGGGCAGGGGCTCTCGTTGCAAGCACGAGCCATCGGCGGCGGCCTCTTGGAACCGTCGCACAGGGTCTCGTTGACAGCTTGTTTGGTCTCCAYGTGTAGGCACATGGCAATGGCTTCTTGTGTTCCTGAATTCAAGAGGAAGACGTTCATTAGGTACTGAAGATGGAAGAGATTTCACAAAACATTGGGGRAAAAAAAATAAAACTCTAAACATTGCATTAGATTGCAGGCTTAACACCAACCTCTCAAGGCAGAAAAGAACATTGGAGATAACTTGTATGTTTGAAGCTCAGAAGATACTTGTGGATTACAGTTAACATCCTGTGATACCTAGAAAGCTTTGTTTGACACAGTACCTCTAAGCTGACAAACTATAGAAATTCGGCTTCCAAGAGCTGTCATCTCTTTCTCCCTCCACCATCAGATACTAGATCCYCCTGGTTCTGTAATGCTCTCAAGCCAGCTAATGCTTTTAATGCCAAAATGAGGGTATAAATATTTCCTTCTCGCTGGACTGGACTCTAAGGAGCTAAAGATCTGCAAAAATGTAATAAATATTACATAAAACTTGCAAACTATAGCTTGCAAAATATCCTCTGAACATCCCCACTGCTTCTGCTCTAATCTGTCTGTGGCCCTTGGCACTATTCCTTATTAGCCTTTCGGATTTCAGCGGGCTCGGCGAAATAACCTGCACTGAAAATTTCATCTGCAAATTAATGGTTTGTGTTTTGTGACTTCCAGGCACAGAGAATTTCTACTTGCAGCAATAGCAACAAGCCACTGCAGGGCATTTTCCCTCTCCCCCAGGGTTTCCAACCACTGCTCTTGCTTTGAATGTGTCATTCACAATTCTCGCTCACACGACAGCCTGGACAGCACCAAGTGATTCAAAGTCAAGCCCYGATTCTACCACTTCTCCATCTATCTCAGTCCATTACAATATTAAACATGAACAGAGTTATTCTTTTCATAAAGCAAAACTATTCTATCCATAACCAGCTCTGCTGCAGGCCAGCATCTTTAGCCAGCCAAGATCCCACTCCTTCCTTGTGACACTTGACCTAATCTTACTATTTCAGACGCTTTAGCACAGCAAGCAGATATATAACAGCAGTGATTTGTGCAATAATGTAGATTCCAGTTCCTTTCAGGCTCTCCAGGAYAACTCTTGATCCCTTCTGGGACTCATTTTCAGTTCAGAAAGACCTTGTTATATAAATGTTTTGACTACATCTACAAAGCAATGAACTTTTATGGAATAGAGGACTTGATTTTGGATATGACTGACCACCTATTCGTTGCTGTTATGTCAAAGTATTGGAAAGCATAGGGAAAGCAAGTATTAGTGAAATATATTTCACTAGCAGGACTGTGAAGAAGCCTTCATCAGCAAACACCACGAGGCTGTCATCCAAACATGAAAATATCCAATCAAGACAAACTAACTACACAATCATGTTTTCTAGAACTCTGTATTTCACTCCCTCAAGAGGAATCAAACCCTTCATCCACTCTCCTTACAAACATTTAGCAGGAGCAGCCTCCCAGGCCCTTCCACAGGGACCTCCAGGCTGACGGCTCACGGGACAGAACAAGGTGTGGAGGCTGTGGTGGAGCAGGGGCTCTGGGTGACGTGAGCAGACAAGCAGCCCAGCGCACTTCACGCAGCCCTGCAATCTCCACAGCTCACGCTACACCCCTTCCATCCTCCTGCCTTTACTGCATTCATGGGGAACGTCAGAGTCTAACGCGATGCAGCTCTGGAACGCGTCGTGATAAGCAATAATCTGCTAAACGTCCTATCCAAGGGAGGAAAATGAAATGAGACTTCTTTCAGGCCTTCTAAAGCAGCAACAATCCCATGGGAACTTTATATCTCAGTGCAGAAAAAATAAATTGGTGAGCAGACATACAAAAGGCACGTTACGGCTCTTAAAGCTCATTAAACCATTGCAGTCTTGACCTGGCTTAGATTGTGTTACCACTGGAAAACGGTAATATGCACAATCAGGAGCRATTCCTTCCCACACATACCTTATTTAAAGAAAGAAAAAATGCTGCAAGTACAAAACAGATACTGTAGAGATGTTAAAAATGCCACCCTGTTCCTTCCTGTTCCTTGTTTTCAGTTGGGGAACTCTACTTCATAAGCAACCTTGCTTAGAGTGATGCAGCACTCGTTTGAACTCTGGTGTGAAAATGTTTGAAAAATTAAATCAGATTTCTCACCCCCAACTACAATTTTAGCTTGGTTGGGAACTTCCATCACAATAATTTTTTTTATTCTATATAGATTGGAAAATGGAAAAATCTATTATTCAAACAAGCAAAGTTTTATATGTATAACTTTCTTGGCTTCTAATATAAACATAGTAGATAATTTAACTAAAACATTATGTATGCAGTAGGGAACATTAAGTATTTTTACAGTAATCTGATGCACTATTGTAGTAATTATCCTACTATTCAGTGAAATAGAATATTTCTATTTTAACCCAGCATTCAAACCACATACATTTACATTCTTTTACAAGTGTTTTTTTTGTGCAATGAAATATACAGTGCACGAAGCTGTGTTAAAAGATCACAATGTTTGAGAAAATCCAGATATTTTCATCCTGCCTTTTTTAGAGTTAAAATGAAATGGAGGATGAAGATTGCTGTGCAAATGGCAAGAAGGTGGATCCCTTCAGCCAGCTTTGTACCTGGAAGAGGAAGGACCCCCATTTCTTCCATGAAACAGTCTCAGCTTGAGGCTTACTTAAAAATATACATTATCAACTCAAAATAACCCAGGAGAAACTCCAAGCGCTTGAGTCTCCCTGTAAATCTATTGGGACTGGCAATGTTATTTTATGGTCCTCTTGTAAAAGAGTAAACAGCCTCTGTAGTTAGTGAAACTACTTACAGAAATGTCCTGTTACCAAATTAGCTACAACGCTACTGCAAACGCTCTCAGCTCTGTTTGTGAGTCTCTCAATACTCACGGTTCTTCTTAAAAACTCTTAAAACGTGGCTGGCATCCTGTGATGCTCTAATGAATCTCTGGTTTCTTATAAATGAGAGAGTAAACTTTTAGCCATCATGGTCCAGACAAAAGCCTGAAAATATAATTTCACTGCACTCTTAAGAGTTTCTACAGGACAACTATAAAAAGAGAAAAAAGAGAACAAGATACATACTCATCTTTTAATCTTATTAAGCCAATATAATGACTTGGAAGATGAATCATAATTTTTTGAAGCTTTTGGAATAGAAATAGCAAGAATTACATGGAATCACAAGAATTTGTCCTTACAGTTAAAGGTATTTTTAGAAGAGACATCTCCATTATTTTTAAATGGAGAACATTTAGCTTGTAAAAACAGCCTTCACTCACTGACTGACAACACTAAAGAAGTATTACAGATTGAAAAAAAAATCTTTTCAGCAATCATACTCTTTCTTTTAATAATCACTATTACTTCTCAGCGTTAATCCATTATGCTAACAACATATGTCAACATTATGCTAATGTTGAGGACTTGTTCATGAAGATCAGTTTTTCGGACTGGAAAAAAATATGTATATACATTATATGCATCTATATATAGACACATTATAGATATATATATATAATTYATATACATTATAAATACATATATACATTATATATATATTTAAAATACATTATAAATATATATATATTTTTTCCCCTGGGAAAAAAACAAGGCAAAGCCTGAGCTCTCCAAGCAATTTTTACTTGGATACTGCTAGTTGTCTTTGCTGCCAGGGCACAGGGCTGGCTCATTTTCAGCTTGGGATTTCCTCAGGTACTGAAGACAAAACACAGCGCTCTGACCTTCTGGGTGGTAATGGCTTCCTACGGATCTTCACCATGATGCCTGTCTCATGATAAATCCATCCAGGGAGCTTTAATTTGCACTCCTGGAAAGAGCAACAGAGCATGACTGCAGGCAGAGCACAGCCCTGTAGTCCTCACAGCACCCAGAGTGGGTGCTCAAAGCACCCAAGAGGCCCACAGGCTCCTTGTCATGAGGCCACCAGGCCCTCGTGAACAGACTGTGCTGCTGCTGGAGCCCGAGCTCGGCCAGTTCCATCTCACTAATTCCCTGAGCTCAGAAAAGACGTTAGCATCCACATTTTTACCCCTGCTCAAGAGAGGGGCCAGGGGAGGGTGCAAATTAGATGTCTAGTCTGCATGTGGATTTAAAGAAGTGGTGGAAAGCAGCGAAATGGAGATTTAGTCCTTGCTCAAGCAGTGCCATAAAGGCTTCGCCGGCGCTGGCTTTTCCCTCATTTAGGGACAGGCAAGTGCTAAGAAACTGGGAGAGAAGTTCCAAGGAATCAGAAATCCACAGGAATTTATTTTAATAGCCACAGCTAGATACATTCATACTAGAGACAAAGTAGCTAATATAATTTACATTACACTGGGATATTCCAAACTCAGACAACCTTTATTTCTTGTAACTAAGAGTTCATCTAATTGAAATGAGATTTGGACATAAAACTTAGCAGAAAGGGATCAGACCCTTTGAACTACACAATGGAAAAATAGTAGACACAGTGAGATCATTAGTGCACTGCAGTAAGCTGGAAACAGAAAAGATGTCTGGTTCCCTTAAAACTATTTATCGGCAGGTAACTTGGGTCTGTTTGAAAGCGTCTGCCAAGGCAGTAAGAAGCTCGGAACTGACAGAAGAAAGAAATCACTGCTACCTACCTAGCAGGACAGCGCAGGGACTGCTGAGCTGTTATGTGATAAAGTGTCCCCACAACTGCCCGTGTTTCCCGGGGCAGCCCGTGGCAGAGCATCTAGACACGAGGCTGCTGATAGCACTGAAGCCTCAAGAACACAAAAAGCCATTTCACTTGCAACTTCTTTAAAGGGCTCATTTCTATCCCAACTCCAAAAAGACAGGATTTTCTTAAGCACTTAGATGCTGGATCAAGTAAACTCAGAAAGTCAGGAACGGGTTAAAAGTTAACAACTGAATTGCCACTCAGCTTTCTTAAGAACAAAATCAAGGCAGATTTAAGATTTTGCTCTTTAGTCATTTTAAGGTTCCTTTATGATGGCAAATGAAGTTCTCTTCAGAACAGCCTCCTTAAGTTACCTTTAGTTTGCAAGCACAATTTTTTTATGTGAAGTCTTGCATGGACAAGCACACATGAAGACATAGGCAATGTAAGCACTCATCTATGTAAGGGGCAGGCAAAGACAAAGAGACTATTTTAGCCCAGAATTCTGCTCATTTCCTCCAAATTAAAAAAAAAAAAAAAAAAAGATATTTAGAACCCCTCTGAAAAAAAAGATATTGGCTAAAAGCAATAATAATGTGGACTTGAGATGGCAATGAAGTGATCGCATATTACAAAAAAAATCAGCTGAGATATGAAAAACAGCAACTAAAAATGTAGAGGTAATAAAAGCCTTGTTTCTGCTTTAGAATAAATTCCTTATTTCTTAAAAAAACTCACTAAAATGCAAAAATAGAAACAATCTATCCAAGTAGTTGTCACAGCTGCCAAGTCAACATTTTTACATATCCATTTACTTTGAGCTACAGCCTCTTCCACCTTGGCATCCCTGACGCCCACTGAAGGTAGTGGGGGGAACGGGATCCACCACTTTTGGGATCARACGTGCTACTGTTCCTACGGATTAATCCCATCAGGAAAGAGCAGTATTAAATGGCAAAGGAGGCTCTTACCAGTCACTTACCAGCCTGCTGACAGTGTTTTGGGGCTTCCCTCCCAACTTCCTTCTTCAAGCTTTGAAGTGGTGAACACCACAGAGGAAGCCACTTTCTATGAGCCCTAGACTGTTCCAACTGTTGCTGCTCTCCCCTTTTCTACATTTTATATTTCTTCTGTGGGTACAACTGTCTTCACTTCCCATTGATGTCATCATTCCTGCCATATWTAGGTGTGTTCACAATTCCACTGCTTCCACTTAACACTTCATAACTCACTTCTGCGTTCAGTCCCTAAGTACAGCACCAAGTAGCAACACTGGAAACCTTGTCTAGTAACATGTACTTAGGGCGACAGCGAGATTCGATTACATCCAAGGAGGAATGTGCCTAACTACTTGCAGACAGATGTATGGCACGRAGTTCCTATGGAGTGATGTACTGTAGCAAACCCTAAACAAACTCCTGTTTGATCTTCACGCCAGTCAGACTGAAAGCAAGCCACCCTAATTACAACTTTGTTTCCCTACTATATGGCAGAAAACTGAAGTGTTTTTGGAAGATAAGGGAGAAGAGAATATGAGAATTTTAGCTTGAAACAATACACTTCTAGTTCCTATGGAAAGAGAGACCATTAACAATGCCCATCAGCCAAGCTAATACTTTGCAACATTCATTAGCACCAAAATTATGCCTACAGCACCAAGACAGAAGCTAATTGCCACATCAACTTTTAAAAACTAATTTAACCAAATAAAGTTCAGTTTTTGAACGCAGGATTTCAAGAAACTGTACCAGACTGAAATACTCTAGCAATATTTTAGAAAAAAGTTTAAAATTGAGGCTGCATTTTTTCCTACGTAACAATGCAGCTAATTCGGGGAAACAGTATCATAAGATCCAATAATATTGACCAATGCCAAATTCTGTAACTCATGATTAAAATAAATAAATATATATATATATAACCTCCAAGACATGTAGCTGAGCATGGAGTAAAGCCAATGTATTCCCAGTCATAAATCAAACTGCCATCTTCAGCATGGGAAGTCTCTGCCGTGTAGGGGATAGGATCACTGTCACAAGGAGCCTGGTGACACCCTCGTTCTGTTGGTGGCTTCACATCTTCACATTCCTCCTCCGGCAGCTCCACCTCCGTCTGAGTAAAAGCGAGAAGAATTCGGCACTTCACATCCCGCACCTGGATGCCATCGCCACACGTGGCACTGCACGGAGACCAGGGCTCAGGAATAAACCTGCAAATAACCACAGGGCAGGGGAGACAGCTGCATTTAATTCCATATGTTTGTGTCGGCATGAGCAAGTTTTGTCATCATTTTAAAAAGTCTTTATGCTCCTGATAAAAAAAAAACTCACTGAGGAAAAGGGCTTTTTAAGTCTATAATATTATCTTACTTCAACGGTCACATTAGTATCTAGTAACAATGACATTAAGGTCAAGTAGCTGAACTTCATTAACAAAGTCATCTTGGGTGGCTTCAGGGAGCAATTTATATGAAATCATATCTAGAGCTTTTCAGGACTTTTTCATCAAAAGGTTGCAGAGGCTTCTTTTTATTATATGTTCAAATGAAGCTGATAATCAAAAACCAGACCCAAGAAATATGAGAATTTGTATGATCAATGTAAAAAATGTTTCTAGAAGGAAAAACCCAAATCACGATCCAAAGATTTTCACCCCTGCTACCCTTGGGACAAGCATCCAACACATATTGTGGCAGAGAAAATAGTTACTCTTCACACCTCAAATAAAAGCCACAAGGTCACTGACTACTCCTCAAAGAGCTCTTGATGAAATGATCTTTATATCTCTTTTAAAAGTGAAGATGTCAAAGTTTGTCGCTTCCAAGTCCTCAACAGAGCTTCAAACTTTTAGTCACACGGATCCTGGTGCTGACAGAGCTCAGTGGGGGGCTCAGCAACCCCAAAGCCTCCTGAAACCAAGAGAAACGAAGAGCATTCCTCCTTCCACAGGCCTGACAGTCTCCRAAGTACGTGGCCAGATGGATTTTTATTGCCAGAATGGTGGATGGCTGTGTCCTACAGCTAGGAAAGCCGCATAAAAGCCATACTGATGCCAYCTAAGGGCCAATTCAGTCCAAGGACATGGCAGATGGGTCAATGTCCAGATGTTTTTGATAGTAAATTCCAACTGAACATCTGTGGGAAAGCCGCTMCAAGGGAAGTCTCTTACCTCAGACTTAAAAATCAGCTTAACCCTGATCCATCAGATTGCACAATCTTTCCAAAGACAGTGATGCAAACCACGGAGGGTCACCATGTCAGAATGGTCCTGATCCAATGGAACAATTAAGCACATGCCTAACTTTTTATGAATTTTAGCAGGCCCTTTGAAGTCAGCAGGAATACAACATGCTCAGASTTAAACTTGTACTCAAGTGCTTTATTGGATCAAGTCCATTGTAGCAAGCATGAAAATATTGATTTCTCTCTCCAAGATGGATCCATTTCTAGAGAAAAAAGGTATAAATCTATTTGTAGTCATGAACCTAGTTTGAAAAACAAAACTTATGGACGTCTATAGCTAAGAGTTGCTCAGTGTTCAAATCACACCTACCACTTTACAGTCTGAAAGGAAATAACCTTTTTGTTGTAGAGGCATGACAGCAACATACCAGAAATTAGTATTATTTCTGTATACTGCTGGTTGAATGCATTAAAGCATTCCAAAAATAATGTATGATGCGTTCCTTTGAAACCCTGTATAACTCTTTGAAAGGAAAGTTTGAACCACAGCAATTCTTTCATTCAGCAACCAGTTGATTTATAAAGAAACTTAGAAAATTCTAAGCATTTTTTCTTTGACTTATAGCAAGGTTATATTGTAATTGAGGTTTTCCTGTTGAATATTAGTGTCTGGGATTTTATAGTGAAGTGCAAGCATAAAATTTTTTTTTTTTTTTTTTTAATTCTACCTTGCCATTTGCTAACAAGTCATGTGGTCACCTAACCATCAAAATCCTAAATTACAGAACTTTTCAGGGGAAGATCTTTTCAATGCCACACTTCAAGTACATTTAATAGAGGCCCATGGAAGCTGATAATACAAAATGAGAGCATGGAACTGGCTAAACAGTGTCAGAGCTCTAGAGCTTGGAAGTTGGTTTATCTAAATTTCAAGTTTGGAAAAATAATTTTTAATTTAACATATGCACTACCAAAGCTTGTAACAGAAATCATTAAAGTAAATTACTCTTCAACCTCAGAAATGATTTATTTTTAATTTGTGACATTCACCACACCCACAGCAATATTTTGGATTCAATACTTTTTTGAAGCAGAGTTTTAACAATGTCTCTGGATGGGACTTGCCTTTTTTTTTTTTTTAAACAAGTCGGTCCTAGCAGTGCAACACAGAGATCAAATACTACTAAAATTAGTTGTACAGGTATAAATGACACAGACCGTGCAATCCCAGCAGTCACCCTCTCCCCCCACGGGGTGCTCAGTCTATCCATAAGGGAAGTGCATTCACTTGGCCAGTGTGGGGTGACCTGGACAACACAGCAGTGATCTAAACCAGGCCAGAGCAGCCCAGCCCAACCTAATCAAATCCGGGCTGAAAACACAGGGCAGCGCAGCCTCTTCCAGCTCTCTAACGACTTGGAAAACACGGTGTCTCTTACTATTTTGTTTTCCTCCTCACAGTCCTTGCTTTCAGTGAAGGCAGGAAATGCCTCAATCCTGAAAAAAAAAGGGCTGCTCCTGTGATACTTGTGGTCCCACCCTGCAGCTCCAAGGAGCCTGGATAGAATTTTGCAGAAGCCTGGAAAGGGCGGCTCAGGCTCCCTGCTCATCGCTGCCCGCCGCTCCCGCCTGCCCTGCTCCTTACCCGCCCCGGGCACAACGTGCTGGGCTGCACGACCAGAGTCCAGAGTCGAAGCAGGGAAAAATGTTTAATTCTCTCCCACCAACTGCACAGTGAGAAAGTTGCTGGAAAAGTGACTCAGCAACGAGCAGGCACCTCTGTGATACYGTGTTTCACTTTTAGCTGCTGATTATTTTTAAGCTCAGGTTGCTGAAAATGTATGCTTTTGAAAACGTTTTGATTTTGTTCTAAACCATGACACAGAAAGTCAARGAGGTGTCGATTTCTTTAGCTTGTGATTAAAAAAGAAGATGCAAAATTTTGCTGAAGCTTCTCTGCGAATCCCACTGTAACTAAGAAGGCTCAAGGGAGGAACGTTTAAAATAATGATTGGTATCAACTGTCATCACATTCCACAACTAAAAACTGAAAAGGTCAGACCTACATTTTTCTTGGCCTCACTTTAAGGGCAGTCATTTTTTATTTTGCTAATAATAAAAAGACAAAAAAAAGTCTTTTGAACGTTCACCCTCTATATAAATTCAGGACACCAGCCGTGGTAGACCACAGCAGCAGAAGTATTTATCTTCCACAGGCTAGTTTGGCATATTCACCATTTGTGGGTTCTAAAATGCAGCTGCATTTGTTCTTTTATTTATTGTCAACTAAAGCATCACCCCAAAGCACAGAAAGATAGTTGTAATAAAACGAYGGACTAGAAACTGAGACTCCATATTGTGGTTTTGGTTTGGCTGACAAGAAAATAACTAAAAATGATGGTATTCCACCTAGGATATCATAATGTCCCAACTATGAGCTACATAGCCCTAGCTATGACTTACCACTTGTGCCACGTACARCTAACACTCTGCATCATGCAAATTACAAGAAACAAAGTTAAACATATCCAAAGTGGAGGGAGATGTTGTTACAGTTTATTTTGGGAGAAGTAACAGTCTATTGTTACAGTTTATATTCTTTATATCCTAAACTCTGACCTCAAAATCTTACTGCTACTGGCAAAAAAAGGTCCAGATATGGTCATGAGATTTAAAGCATCATGTGAGAAACTGCTCTGCTTGCAAAGCACTCTGCATGTGACCAGCAGGCAGCCTGAGAAAAGGAAGGAAAGCAGAGTTGTCCAGCTCTGCTGGAAAACRTGCTGGCAAATAACCAGTCTCACTGGGACTCCTTTAAGCCACCTACTATAGGATGGTGAGACATACATAGGGCTGACTTAAGACAAAAGCCAGGTATCAGTCTTCCTTATTCATTATTCTCATCAAGGTAATCTTACCTTATAAATTTTGATTTCTTCTTACCTGCCAGCTACCTCAGAAGAATAAGATCAGGTGGTGCCAGGACACAGCAGCAGCAGAAACAAATTAATAGGGAATCTGGCTGGAGTGTTTACATTTGGTCCTAAGAGCAGAGAGCACCCAGACTAGGAAAGCAGGACAGCCCCAGCAGCAGAGTAAGGAGGAGGATGGCAGAGAAGAGTCACCAGCAAGAAGCAGCTGGAGAAACCCTTTAGAGTTGGATGAAGGTAGCTCTGAGAGGTCTGAAGGAAAGATTCTCAGGACAGAGTTAGGATCATGAATGAAAGATGAGGAAGGTCTAGGTCTCCAAATTAACAGTAAGAATATCCAAGTCTTTAAGAAGAAATCCATGAAACTGCAGAGTTGAGGTGGAAAAAGAACACTCTGCACGGAGAAGAAATGCACATGGCTGCATTAACCCTGAGGTTACAGTGGGAAGACACTGGTCATTTCAAGGAAGGCACAAATAACTGTGCCTTTTGTGAGCAAAAAATAGCAGTGAGGCCATTATCAAGCCAGTCGCTCAATTCTATTACAGTCAGTCAGCCCGCTGTGTCGCTGTCAGTCTTTCTTTGCTTATTCTACCAGATTCTATGAGCTATTACACTAGCTCATAGTCTCCGCAGTGTATCACATACCTCTGTGCTTGATTTTGTAATGCCAAAGATTTTCTTTATAGCTTTGTGCTGAATCCTCTTTAGGGATGATCTCATGCAGCCTCATTCTGATATGCCGACATTCAACAGGAGTGTTTGATTGCATCACTGCCTTTGATAATCATACTTTATTTTTATATATTTTTACTTCTTTGCTACTACACCCTGCCTGAATTCAGGGACTCCAATTTGGAGTGAAATAAGCACTCGCAGTAGATTGACACTTGACTTTAGATGTTTAAGCAGTGAAAAGTTTAAAGAACAGACACCATTAACCATGCAAGAAACACCTGCTTGGCAAGTGGGTTCTCCTGTGAGTCAGTGCAGGTGTAGAGATTTTATTACGCATGATCACACCTGTTGGTAGGTATGTGCCAAAATCAGGAATAGCTAGCTGGAGGAAATAAAATAAGAACTAATGGGGTATACTCKGCACTCTGGGCTGTATAAATCCGCAAGTGACTTCACTAAGCTCATCTAAACTATTTCAAATTGACATTGCTACAAATGAGCGCAGATCCTGGCTAAGCACAACAGAGTACAGGTCAAAAACCATTACAAAATCCTTACAGAAAGCTACTACTTTCTAGAAAATTGTCCTATATTTTGGGTWTAGTACAGACTTAAGTGCATGAAGTGTACAGAAGAGGCACAAACACCTGTGCAGATGCCCTAGCATGTAAGAGATGGGAGCAAGTTCAGTCAAATATATGTTATGCTTTCACATCCAGGACTGAAGTGTTGTAAGGCTCACACCATCAGCTTTTAAGGTGACTCACAACATTAAAATCAGATACACATGGAAAATATCCCAACCTATCCCTGCAGATTAAGCTAAATTCAGCAATCAGCGAGTTTTTCTCACTTTCTTTATGCACTAAGCCTGGTAGCCCTCCTAAATACTTTTTTATTTTTAAGAGGATAACTTGAGGTATTCTTGAGGTAAAGGAAATGACTGGGATAAAACTGTTTAATTTACTTCAGCTGAAATGCTTCCACATGTATTAATTAAGGGTTAATTAGGGTAAATAAGATCCTTTTGCACTACTTGAATGATGTAAGGACACTATTAATAGAGGACTTCTATGTCTTCCAGAACAGGAGCCCCAAAAGCAAAGTTGTTGAGATGTAAAATTAGGAACAGCTCACAACAAAACTCATCTCCAAGGAGGGCCAAATGTCAAAGCAAACTGCATAGCAGCACTCCTTCCAGATGATCTGCAAAATATGCTGGCAATGTTTCTTCACTGTAAAAGACAACAGACTTACGTGGGCTCTTCAGAGACTGTTCTGGTCTCTTCCATCTCTTGTGCCTGTTTAAACCATGGCAATTTTGCTTCCACAGGACTTTTTTCTAGTAAGAGGGGGGAAAAAAAAAAGCCTAAGTAATTCCTTCAAAGAAATACATAGATATTTGCATTATTCAGATTAGCATTGAACTCTTGACACACTTTTTGACCTATTGCTTGTGAGTAAACTTGCACTTGACAGTAAAACATTTCTCAGGAAATCTCCTCATGATGCTGCAGTTCAATCCTAACACTACTTTTTTTGTGAGGGTACCAGCAATCCAGTTACCATTYCCATTTAATCTTTCAGCTCTCTCACATCTTCCCCCAAATGCAGTCAGTCTGTATTAGACTGCATTGTCTTCTGCAGTCTGCAGTCTAATATCCCAGGGTAAGCTCCAGGCTTCTTTTATCTGTCTCTACACCCCCTATTTGGATCATGACCTTTCTTGGGGTACCATAAGCCAGCTGAGCATCTATGCCTCCAAGCCTAAGTAAAAGCCCAGAAGGCCCTTAAAATGTCTACTGCATGGTTTAAAGAACAGCATAGCATTTAACCCTGAATAGTTCTGTATTTGAAGAACTCTCTAAAGTCTGAACTCACTAAAACCCCAAAACATCTCAAAAAACATGAACTTGTCTAGAGATACTTTTCATTTTTTCTGTGTACATCCTATGGAGAGTTGAGAATGTCTGAAATACAACCTTTCAAACAAAAAGTGAAAGAAAGTAGAACCAACCCAAATTTTCTTGGCACGGAAATGAACAAGGTACAAGAATGGAACAGGACATACTCCTTTTCTACTTCATCTGCCTTTCTTTTATTCTTTCGCCTTTCCATCTAAACATTCACATTTTACTAATACTTTTGAAGAACGTTTGTCAATTTATGTCATTAAATATTACAGATCTTTTAATCATGTAGAAGTGGAGAAAAGACAGGGAGCCTAGTTAGGCAATAGCTTAATGAATTGATAGAGTCCAGTGAGAATCTTGACACATTTAGTGAGATGCAAAAGTGGACATGATGCCAGGTGACAACATACATATTATTGTCCCCATTTCCACATTATTGAATGCAATAATGTGGAAATTATATAGCTAAAATATAGCCCTCCCTAGCCTGAGCTCACTACTTCTGGTTTTCCTAGTTTCACTAAGTCGTATAGGTTTGGTTAGCATGTTCACCGCATGGCATTATAGCCATGCTAKAAGCTAGGACTATCAGCAGGACACTTTCCCTAACACCAATAATTAAAACGCTCATTTTTGCCAAGACTGGAATACACTGTAGTAAATTCCAGCTTCTGACACTTCTGAAAAAGGTTACCAGGGACTTTTAATTCTGTTAACAAAAACGTAAAGCAATAACACACCCAGACTAAATTCCAGTTACCTCTTGGCTTGTAACATGGTACTGGCACAATGCACTCTTCTTTTATGTGCAGTTTCAGTTGTGGGTTGCAGCCACCGACGTGCTGCCCTCGGTGGTCAATACACAGCACCACACGGTAACGTAAACCTCGGCCACAGGTCACCGTGCACTACGGGAGACAACACAACCATCTCTGTCCCCTTTATATTATATTTACAAATATTTCTAAATAGCAAGTTAGAAGCATCGATGATTTATGTTCACTAAAGTCTTTCCACTGACTTAGGCAGGCTTTAGCGCAAGCCCCCAAGTCAAATTTTAATTGCTCTATCAGGTATCAGATAAACATGAATTGAATGTAACTCTGCATTGCTAGCTGAATAGAAAAAAAAATGGTGCTGGAAAAAATKTCTAAATTTGGGGAAATAAAGTGATTTTGCGAGTTCAGTAAAACTTATCTGATTGGCTCCAGTCTCAAACCAAGGTGGCTATCTACTGAAAATATGCTCACTCACAGCTTTTGGTCATTTTCAGTTTAAGCTGGGTCAGACGTGCCATAAGAGCAGTTCCTTCACTGCACGTCAGTGATCTCATTTGGATGAACTAAGGAATTATAGAAGTGTTGAGCTATCTGACTAGATCAGATAACCGCAGCCAAGATAAATTGGCTCTCTATTCTTGTTACTGTAATGAAAGGTAAGAAGAATGCTGGAAAATCACCCTTGCGAATATGTCAGCCCCTAGACAGTCATGCCTTTAGCTATTATATGAAGTGAAAGATTACATTTATCAAGAAATGGAAGACAAACAGCCTGATTGCAAAGGGACCTGACCTCTGGTTCTAATTTTTACTCTCTGTAAAACAGCAATTCAACAGGCATACATAACTCTATATGCACTCTTCCCTGCACAAATCACTAAGTTTTTATTTTTTTATTTTTTCTTTTCAGGCCAAATTAAGACAAAATGTTAACAAGGTCTACGAATTGTGCTTATTTTTTCTTACAGCCCTGCACATGGTAACACAAGGCTCCCTTTAGGGAAGCAAGAAAAACAAACAAACAAAGAATAAAAATCAAAATTACTTTTCAACTTACTTGAGACCATTCCATAGCCACCCATTTAGGACAGTCAAAGAGGTTACAGGTTTGGATGACTTTAGGCTTAGGGGCATACATGCATTTCCATTCTTCCACTTGCAGTATCTCGCCATGTATGGTCTCCTCTACACACACAAAGCTCCTCCTCTGAATACCACCTCCACAGGAAACTGAACATGCAGTCCAAGGGTTATGTTCCCATCTGGAAAAAGAATTCCTGTTTATTAAAAATATGGCTTTTTTTTTTTTTCTTTTAATTCCACTAACCTCTATTAAAAGTGCAAAATATTGAATCCAACCTTGGTGTCATTAAAACCAATCGATATTTTGTTGCTGGATTATTGCCACAGACTGAATATAAATAAATGGAATTACAGAACTGTGTTGTATTATTCCAGGCTTGAATTCACCCACAAAATGAGAAGACAGTATAACTACACATTCAAGCAAGTTTCCTGAAATAATGGAAAACCTAATTCTTATACAAATGTCTTAAAAACTCTAAGTTAAATATACTGAATTYGACTACTGGTATGATTTCACTTGCAAATAGTCTAAATCATCTAAAAAGCATATTTTGTAGAGTTGATTTACRTGGTTACTTCTACTCTTATTGTCATGATAAGAAACTAGGAACAATATGTGCTTGAGATTATACAAGGTCCAAAGACASGACAGACCTGGCTGTGCTGAGGATGTTCTTATACATAGTTGCTCACCACTGTCCACAGAACGCAGATTGCCATTAACAATATCCACCAATGAAAGAAGTTTTATAAGAACTCTAACACCTGCTTTTGGCAAAATTAGCCATGCCAGCTCAAACTGTCTCCAACTRCAGGGATTGTGAAGATGTCCCACTGTGACAGGTACCACTCTTAGCTGGTCATCACTCCAGTTCTGTAAGAGTTTCCTAGCCTCACTGCATGCCATTCAGGAAGTTCATATTCACAATTCCCAGCCTGCCTTGAAGCAAAAAGCAGCTGATACTCATTTCAGCGTGAGGTGCTTGGCGTGACCTGTTTTACTTCTCCTGAAGCTGGGAGATGCACCCATTAAGGAAAATTCTCATGCTCCTGTCCAAAAGCAGAGCTGTGGAGCAGAAACCTCCAACAGAGGCAYGATAAACCTGCTGGAAGAGAACGTCTTCAGCATGAACATCCACCCAGGATAACATCCACCCAGCTAACCACAGTGAGGAGGGAAACTGTTACTCCCTACCATGTGAGTGTTAGCCAAGAACAGGTGGTGATATCACAAACTTTCATTTACTTCTTCATCATCCATAAATGTATAATTAAGCAACCACTTTTCAACAAAGAACTATAATCAGCTACTACAGAATGACCTCAATAATGCTGCTCTCCTGCCATATACGCAGATTACAAGTATCTATCATAGCAATGGTCTCTAGCTTTTGCATTGTCCCACACACCTTTTCCTGCCCTCCACCACCCATTCTAATTCAACCCAATCCCTGGGAAATAGCTCAGTCCTGCAACACATCACATGGCTTATCAGGGTCCATGTTGGCTTAAAATTTATATGGATTACTACTGCTGTGGCTCCAAAAAGATCACACGCACTCACACAGAAACTTTCAGCTATGAACGGTGGACTCAGCCCTGCAATATATCATCAAAACAAGTTCATCAAGAGTAACCTAAATATTATAAAGGAAGCCATAATCTCTGATCAAATGAAGCAGACACCTATAAATCAAAGATAAAATTAAGTAATTACTACCCACTTTCTACGATCTAGTAGGTAAGTCAAGAASACTTCCTGTTTTCAGCAATTCATTAAACAGCCTACAAAAACATATTAATCATGTTTAAGCTCAGCAGAGGACAGAAAGTGCTTGAAACACAGCAAGCCCTGGAATGTTAATTGTTGGGTATCTACTCAAAACCAGGCAGTATATAGCTAGCTGACTACACRCTGATATCCTGTCACCAGTGAAAAACACACTTGGAGCACCAGAGCCACTCTTTTCTTTGAGGGAATGGCCACTGCTAACTCATTTTCTAAAAGAAAAACCAGGAACTAAAGAGCAATTAGCTTTTCAATGAATTAGCAGCTTATGGATTTATATATAGGTTTCAGTGTGCTGTATGTAATACTAGCCTTGCAAGTGTTTATAGCATAAAGTTTTATGGTTGTTTTTCTTTATCTCATCAGTTTCAAACATACTCCAGATCCCGTACTCCCATAAGCATTTTCAAGATGGAGTGAGGTCTATGGCTACTGGGGAAAGGGGGGTCTTGGGCAAGCAGTCAAGGAGATACTTTCCAGAGCCCACAGCTGTCCAGGGATTCTGAACAGTCCAACAAGTCTGAAATAAATGGAGGTATTCCAAAAGCTTWAAAAGAAAATTTTCATCCTGGGAAATTTTTCTATTTATTTCAAAAGAATTCTCCATCTGTAAAAATATTTCAGTGGGGCACTGACAACTCCAGCCGCAGGAGAACTCTTTCATGATCTTGTGGTGCGCACCAYGACTTCCCCACAACTTCCTCGGGCGAAGGGCAGAGCGGTGGCGAGCGCCCCGGGCCTGCGGAGCCGCCCTGCGCATGGCGCTTGCGTCGCGACGCGTCACTGGGACCAAGGCGAGGGAGCCTGAACAGCTCTGGCTCGAGCCTATCGCCAGAACTGAGGTTTTCTGCCCGCTTTTTGCAAGAGCGGCCCCGGGTTAGCAAGTGAACAGGTGAGAAAAACCTCAAAGAAAAGCAGGAAACGGCCTCAGCAGCAAGTAACAGGTAGGAAAAGGAAAAAACGGCCTTGGCAGAACTGACGCAGACTCATGCGTTCAAGTTACTTTAAAGGTGACAGCACAGAGAAAATTACAACACTGAAGCAAGACGTGCATCCTGGGTGGACCACGATCACCTCATGACTCAGATACGAACTGACTGTTCCAGCTGCTGTCTTCTCTCAGGAATTCCAGTTGGAATAGGTGCTTTTGCAGCCCTGTTGTGATCTTCAAGTGTCCCGCCACTGAAAGAGCTCAGCTTGCCCTGTTTTCCTCCCTTTCTACGTGGCAGCATCAACACTGAGCCCTTCTCAGCCCTCTTGCAGACCAGGAAGACTTTGGTACCTTCCAGCAGCGCACACTGAGGTGTCGAAATGAGGTGGACCTTTGTCTGCAGCTCTTAACGTTTGAAATAAGAGAACCTGCCCACAGTTTTATCACAGACATAATCTATCTCACCACAATGTCATGCAAACATGCTGAGCACAGTAAAGCACAGGAGGGAGATTAAATTTCTCTTCTAACTGCTCTCCAAGCTCTGAGCAGTTCAGAAGATGAAATACTGATGTAAATAAATTGTGCTGAGTTCCAGAAGATCTGAAGCACAAAGCACAAAAAAACTGACAGTAGAATTGGCAGAAGAAACCAAAGAGAGAAACAGAATAACTATGAAACATTACAGCATAAGGCCACAGAAGGAAAAAGTCTCAATCCATGTATGAAAGCCAAAGTATATCACAGGGCAGCAGACCCACAAGAAGCATAAATTGTTACACAGATGACTCTGACCATATACATCAGCTGTTATCAGTAGCTTTACTGAACCATGCAAGCCTGATTTCATTCTTATTACCCCATATATTTTCTTCTTTAGAAAAATATATACATTATTCACAATATAATACTACAGATCTTCAGCTGGGATAAATATTCATCTGTCTCCATCAACTAGAATTTTTGACATTAACAGTAGATTTAGCTCAATGTTTTTAAAGTCCTAACATCCTTTACAAAATATTTAAATCTTCCAGGAAAGGTTTACATTGCTGTGATTGACACAGGTTAAAAAAAAAATATGTGAATTTGTGCTCTGATGACTTAGCTGTAGGCAATACATATTCAGAGAACTCATACTCTTTACAGGGCTGAGTTAACTTTTGTGTCAACAAACAGATTGTGGGTGTAAATAATGASAAGGAGGAGATGATCCTTTAAGGGAATAAGAATTTCTAGAGAGCTCAGTAACATAGGGTTGCAACACAGGGCGTTCTTTTTGTATAAATATATTCACTGGATAYATTTTCCAACTAAAAGTCTTTAAATAATAAGTCTTTTAATACATGCATTTTAAAGGAGATGTTAAAAGGTTCTTCAACAGTATAGCAGAAAGCTTAGGAGGATAATTCTTCTGAAGTTTTTCATATCTGTATTTTCAAGAAGAGTATATTAGCGTCTTCTTAAGCTAAGCATTGCAAGCACAATAAAATGAATCACAAGAATTAAAAGCATTTACAGGATGGTTTTAGAAATCTGCTCTCTTGAATAGCAGAAATCAGAAGATTATATTCCATGACTTTTGTACTCAAATGCTCTATTTGCAGTGGAAATTGTATTAACACTGACACATGCTACTCTGATGATACATACCGAGGAAGTGGCTGGAAGTGATCATAGGGCATGATTTCTTTAAATCCATCACTGTCAACAAAATAAATATTTCACTGTTATTTCTCATATCCAAGATGTACAGCAGATTAAGCATGAACATGTAAAAGTATTTAAGCAAGCAATTACAAGATACTGCTGTGGAAAACCATGACTCATACTTCCAACTTTTTCTGAAGGAATAGAGATACATTCACCATACAATTTCCCTACTTAATTCCACTAAAAACAGGAAATGAACAACCCTTTAGCAAAGAACTTTATAATCTGTCGTCCTTTAGGTCTATGTAACATTATTAACAAAAAGCAGTTACACACATATATCTGTAAAATATATATATCTGTGGAAGATAAATGGCAATTAAATAAATGCAGAGGATTAATTCTAAATATATCCTGGATGGCGTTTAGGACCCTTCTAGTGCTGTTTTCTCCAACTGCATGGAATGTATAGCTTTAGTTCATAGGCTAGGAAATATGGTATTATATTAGGAATATTTTCTCTTTTTTTCCTGACTGTATAGGCYGAAAATGCAAGGAAAAAGTTAATTATACCTTTACTTAATTTTCCCATTCCAGCTCTGAAAGATTTGGCACCTACTGCTATGAAGACTAACTGAATTCTTAGTGCTCCGTATAGTGATGAACTCTCCAGGAAAAAAAGACTTGAAAGTCTGCACATCTATAACTGTTAGAGGTCACTATCAACGATTATGTTCAACAGGAATGAAAGGAAATGGACAGTTTAGCTATAGGAAATGAAATCCATTGAGAGGGTTTCCTTTTCTTTTTGCCTATAAGTCTAGCTCAGCCAGCTGGCATATTAATGTGAGGTTCTGGGACTTGATACTGTGATGTTATTTTAAGATACTTGAGCACAGCCAGGAAACCTCACCAGACAATCCAAAAGTTAGTTTGAAATACCATAGTGCAATTCAATACAATTTATGTATACCGTAGTCTTTGTAATTTGGCAATAATATTCTGGGATATCTGTACCACAAGTATATTTACTTGGATTTTTTTTCATCTTGTTACATAAAAAAAAAATCTCTTAAAAACAAAACCCCTCCTAAACCTTAATAATTAAAGTGACAAATCCACAGAGTGAATAAAGGAGATTTTTATGGTAGGCAGATGAATAAACCAGGATATACCATGTGCAAAAACTGTATGCCGAGAGAGAAAAGGAGCTGCTGCTTGTCTGTAATGAGAAATCCTGAATGGCAGCATCAATAAATCCAAAAGCAGGCAAACGGTCTGTCCTCCTCAAACAACCACTTAAATCCAGGTACCAGTGCTAGATGGTTCAGCAGAAGACCAAAAGTAGAATTATTCCCTAAACAAAGAYACTACAATATTTGCAACATAACCGTGTAAAACAAAAGTCTTCTTCTGTTCTACGTCATTAAGAAGATTATACAAATCCACTAGCAATGGTGCCAGATGTCAGACTTTAATTCATGCCATAATCAACCAAGAATAAGCAACTCTAACGATGAAAAGAAACAAAATTAAATAACTATGATTGTGTGTTCCTTAGAAACTGTAAATACCAGATACTTGTCATACAAACCTAGAAGGGCAGGGATCCATATTGCATTCTTTTAGCTTGGGCTTTGGCTTCTTGTTTTCTGGGTAGTAATGACAGTAGTGATCAGGAACAACTCGCTTCAGTCGAATATCCACACATTCAGCAGAATTAAGCTGATAACCTGAAGAAGAAACCAGGTGAAATGCTGGTAACAGAGGAATAAATGCAACAGTTTTCTCAAATTATATTCTATCTGTCCAGGCATTTTCTAGTGTTACTTTTTCTTTTAAATGTTGTACACAACCATACAGGACCACATAAGGCAAAAAAGTATTAATTACTGTTAAGATGTGCTAACACTAGATGAGACTCCGATATCTGAAAATGCTCTAAGGAGACAAGTAAAAGCATACATGTTTCTATATGATGCACACATATATGCAGTATAGCAGCTTGCTTGTCATGGAGGGGACCCTAGAAAGTCCTGGTTGTGTTGCATGATCCCCAGTGCAGAATCCTTCCCGACCTCCAAGCACTCTCCATCATGGGTATTAGTGAGAGCTAGATTACATGCTTGTGCATGCTAAAATAGAAAACCAAAACAGAAAGCCAAAAAAAATTGAGGATCAGATCCAAAAAAATTTCTAAGTTGAACTGTAGAAAATAAAGAAATACTTTCAAGAACATTTTTGGTTGAAGAGCCAACAGAAGAAAATCTGAAGTAACTACTTGATGCAAAAAAAAAAAAAAAAAAAAAAAAAAAAGAAACTTTGTGGAAAGGCTGGTTAAGAGGAGGGATCTGAGTTTCAAAAACCACTGAAAGGATCTGAGTTTTACAAACCACTAGCTTGATTTTTGGCTAAGAAAAAAAAGACTCATTGAGAAGAGCTGACTTGGACTTAAACTAAGGAGAGGAGAAGGATGTTCCGGTATGTGAAGGAAAAAAAAAAGGTTGAAACCACAAGAATGAAAATCCAAATGGAGTCAATAAACTAACAGCATAAGAGCCAGTGTCTACTGAAAATGCTTCAGCGTCATATATCAGGGTTACACTTATGTGCCCCTTGGCTGATTGAAAGTGTCATCTTGCATGAGGGTGCTAATCTTAAAGAAGAACTAAGCAGTGTCAGTGCATGAYCCCACTCTCGGGAGTACTGAAGGGACTCCTTTAAGATATGCTACTTGCAAACAAGCTAAATTTTAACTTTTTTGCTCATTTGAGCTTGACTGTTTTCTGTGACATCCCTGCCATATCACTCCCATCCATGGAGATCACACAAGCACCCGCAGGGGACCGTGCCTATGAGACACGGTGCTGCACTGATTCCAAGTCTCTGCTATTGGCAATTTTTTCTTTTAGGGGCAGTGGAAGAGGCCAAACATTCCAGAGAGTGTTTGCTCTTTAAGATAACGGGTTAAAACGAGGTAGCTGCCATACAACTTCCCATTCTTGACACTATCACAAGTAGCTTAGTTTGTGTGCTTCTCTCAGTTACTGGCCTCTCTCTCAGGATTCCCTGAGTGTTAAGCTCTGGTGATAAAGATAGTAGTTTTATATCATGGATATGCAGATATAAGTAGGGCATTCAAAACACTGGCTAGTCCCAAAGACATTGACATGTAACCAAAATTTTCAAACCTTAGTATGTGTCTGAATAAGGCTGGATTAGAGTGAAAATGGGACACACTTACCTGAGTGGCTCAGTCACTCAGTGTTTACATGTGATTGTCACAATAACAACTGTGATGCTCTACACTTCTTCCCAGAGGAGGCAGTTTAGGGAAAAACTCTTAAACTCAGTGTGAGGATGAGAGAATATATATTGCCACTCACATTTCTAATAAGAATCACGCTTCAGGGGGCCAACTATCTGATAAGGTAGTTTCTTGTGTGACTGCAGATTATACATGTACATTACCTGCATTTCAGATTAAATTGAAGTACAAGTGCCAAAACAGATGGTCTGTCAAAAGATCCTCAGATTTCTTATGCTTTAAACATCCCTAACTCCTGCTACTCCTGCCCCAAGTATCTAATTAAACCACGTGTCTTTGMATTCTCCAGGAAAATCACTACACCAGTATTATTATCCAATCTCCCACTGTGATTTTCAGGTGATCGAGGTAACGCTGGCAGAGCTGAAATTGCTTTGTACAATATCAAAATCTCCACCCAGCATGAAGCCATGCTTTTTACAGGCCCAGAAATGACCAACACTGGGCTGGGCTGGACGAGCAGTAGCTGAGCTGCTCTTTATCTAACCATTGGAAAAACTGGGGCATTTAAGCCAAAAGTACAAGCTGCAGCAGGCTGGCTACACCGGGACTGAGTGTCTAGGGTCAGCCAACCATAGGTGTTTGTGGTAGCTGTCCCATAAATTCAATGTAGCAAAGAAACAATAATAAAGAGGAAAAGAAAAACTAATTTAAGCAAAGAACTTTTGCAAAGAACCACAAATCTTATACCATTTCTTTTGTAACCAGCCATTTTTGATATTCAGCTGTAAGCACTCCTGGAGGACTGGGACTCACCCCCTCCACACGTCACGGTGCAGGGGAAGAACTCGGTCTGTCTCCACTGATGACTGATGGGTTGATAGAAGAAGAACTGAACCACACTGTCCTTTGTGCCAGAGTACCTGGTCTAAAGAAATTTCCATTACAACATATGTGTATACTGTACTCTAGTGTCCATGATATTTCATAGCATAATTCATAGGTAGTAACAGTGGAGAGATTAACATGACAACAAGCCTAAGACCTCTAAATATAAGTTTCAAGTAGTCAAACATTTCTTTTTCCCCCCAAGATATTTAAGACATTAATATACCCCTCCCTCTCTGACCATCTGCCCTTGGTTAAGATCCTAACTGCCAGCTTCTGCTTTACCTCATCATCAGCCAAATTTTCAATATTTGCTGCAGATTTAAATGTAGACTGATTCACATTCAGGTAGGTCTACTGCTCATGCACTTTTAGATGTGCAAAATGCTGAATGTCTATTTCTACAACATGAAAAATAAAAACAACACTGAAACACTTGTCAGTTTTAATGGAGAACTATTATTATCCTCCTTTGACACAATCAACTCGAGGGTCATTTATATACAAAAATATGTGCACATATGATGCAAGTCATTGGTATGTGGTCTGGGAATTAGAGTAATTCAAAGGACTAGACGTGGTCAGTAGTTGGATTAGCCATGTCTACAGCAGATGAGAGGGTGCTGCTGGATGTGATGGTGTGGTTCAGTAGGTGGCAGTCTTCAGTTGGATTAATATCTGTCCAACATAGAGGGCCACGTTGTTATTCTTTCAGTAATACTAAAAAATGAAAGTCTCAGCCATTTTTGATCAATAGAAATTCTGCAGCACTTGCCACTGTGTTAACCTCCTTTTATTTAATTTGATTAGGAACATAAATTATAAACTAATATAAATCACCTCTGGATTTAGGATTATTTATTTGCCGTCTAAAGGATTTTACATGTTGACAGACAGCTGCCTACACTACTGCTGATACTTCCAGTATCTTAGTAGACTTACACATGTGCACATCCCACCTTGATAATGAAATCTGCTCCAAGAGGTCCCTGGATCTTTATGATTTCCCTGTCTGGACTCTTCTGAAAATCAACAGTTGTATTCTCTATGAGAAATGTTCCAGGAGCATTGAAACTGTGCTCTCCCTTGTCTCCTTGTAATGTCTTTGATTCTATAACTAGGGAGAAAACACACAATTTGTAAACTTAAACAGGATATCTTTCTTTTCAAGGAAGTTASAAAGTAAAGTCATAAACATTGTGCTATGGGAAGCAGCAATTTAAACACATTAAATAAAACACAGAGTAAGTACTACTATAGATTACARGTTTACATACAATTGCAAGACATGTCAGCACAGGCGGTTGCCTGGTCACACTATTCTTGCATAGCAGAATCACCTCTTAGACATCTTTTTTTCCCTCCCCAGAACATATGCTACACATAATCTATTATCAAGCAACGGATTCAGCAAGGCAAAATAGATAACGGATAGAATCAAAACATATACAAATAATCCAGACTCCCATGTCTTTCAAGCCTGATAGTTTCAGTGGTCTCTAAAGAAGTCCAAACTCACCAGTTTTCCCACTTCTAGATACCTTTATCACTTTACCTGCTGCAAATGTCATTAATCTAGTTTTGGGCATTTCCCTTCCCATAAAAAAAAAAAAAAAAAAAAAAAAAAAGGCCAGGTCTGAAACTGCAACATTGCTTATGGGATTCCATTTTCTTGGAAGAGTTGAAGATGAAACCTTTTTTCTGCCATTCTGCATTCCTTGAAAACAGAATAAACTAGTAGATTACATCTGTCAGACAACAGAATTAGCATTTTAGGACGGAGTCACTTTCAGCAAACTGACTGAGCTATAGCAGCTAAAYGTGAAGAAAAATGATCACAAGGAAGGTCAGATTTCTGTCCTCTGCATTGCACACACACAGCAAGACGCATGACCTGAAAAGCACTGCTCAGGTTACAGGCTGCCAGAGCAGTAGAAATAAGAAAGGTATGGACTATAGGTTGCTATAATTAAGCTGAAAAAACATTTTTAAAGTGATTTTTACTGATATTGCTCTATCAGCAACTTACAGTTATTTGAGTTACATGGTATGGATATAACATATGGCTTAGCTAATCTTCCAGATACAGAGAAACTAGGTCTGACCCAGTCTGACTATCCATTCTGATACTGTTCAGCAGGATTTTATCCAGCTCCCGTCGTTTTGATCATACTATGATCCTTCAGTCTATTTTTATGTCCTTATACATGTCCTCRAATTGCTTTATTTTCTCTTTATCCCAGCTTACAGAACACAACAACAGCTAGTCACAGGAAAGGACAAACTTTCCTCTATGCAAGACTTATTTGAAAAAGAATTTTAAAAAATGGTCTGAGATACTGAACATGTAARTCTTACTTTGAAATGATTTGAAATTCCACATACACTTCGGGAGTCAAATGTCTTACATGATAAAACTAAATCCACAGTAATTCTTAGGAACAGCACATTGCTGACRAGCACATAAAATTCCTTGACTTTTCAGGAAGAATAATTACAGTTCAGATAGTACAGTGAATTCAGCACCTCTCCCAAATCTGGATTAAAATTCTGAATACATCCCAAAAAGAAATGGGTTTGGAGAATTCAACCTAGCTTCTCATGAGCCCATACACAAACACACGCACACACAAAAAAGGTGTTTCCAATGGTTCATAGACATTTTTCAAATTCCTCTCAAGAAAGTCTGGAGAATGTAAGAGGATCTTGAGTCATGAAAGAGGTATGCTGACTTTGCTATGCAAAGACTGTTGTACATAAATCGCCTGTAACATGACTTGGGCCAGCACAATTTTACTTATAATTTCATGAATAATGAATTTATGTAAAAATAGTGTAAGGCAAGGCTGAAAAAAGAAAAGATACTTTCTAAGGTAAGTCTCATTGTGACTGTGAGTTAGAAATAGCTTGTTAAACACTTCAGAAATGCTGCTAAATTCTAGAACTTAGCTTATCTCATGAAATAGCACCTACTCTCGTTACATGGAAGAGGTGCASGGCTTTGCCATTTACCCCACCAAAACAGGATCAGGTATTTATTAATCCTATTACTGAAATTAAATCCAGCAGTAGTCCCTTACCAACTCTGCAGGAGCAAGGAAACTAATTCTATGCTAAATGCCATTTCTAAATAGAGTATCGGGAACTATGTTTTTAAAAGGCTAAGGTAAAAACCTGGCAATTTTGCAGGAAAGGGATTTTGAGGGCCATCTAGCAATGAAAGTGCTGTCRCTCATCGCAGTAAATCCCCATATAGCGCTTTACAACAAAGGTTTTAGTTACTGTTCTGCCTGCATTAAAGTCAGGTAAGGAGTTACTGTGACTGTGCAACTGTGACTGCTTTCAGGGCATCTTATCCTGGAGAAGCAAGCCTCCCACAACCGCACTGAGAATTGTCCTTAGTAAGCAAGAAAAAGAAATAAGTTAGCTTTGTGTGGCAGAGGCTGAAAGCTGGAGACCTACCTACAGCCTAAATAATGTCATTAAAATGGCTGTCATTTATAGAAAAATGTCACAATTGTAAGATACAGTCTATCTTTCATCAAGATTAGCTGTCATAACTGGTTAGAACAGCAGAATAGCCATAGCACCTTGGGTTTTGAAACCTGGGATCTCATATGAGCTCAAGTCTAACTAAAAGGAAATTTGTGATGTCACTGCACTAGAAATATTCTCTTTTCTCCAACTATCTGATTTTTTTTTTTTTTTTTTTTTTTTTTGGTATTTGAGTTAGCTAAGTAAGAATATATAATTCAAGTTAAGTGTATCTCTTTTTACCCACACTGAAAACATACTCCTACTGCTACAGCCCAGGAGCATCATTAGCATTTTCTTCATTAAGATCTTCTAAAATACAAATCCATTCCGGAGCATGTCCAATGAAAAGAGTCATGCCACTCCCAAAGAAAACATTTCCTTGAAAAAATACTTAAAAATGTACTCACAGCTTTAACCCAGGTTTCTAAATATTAGACCCCACTATTCTCCTGAATACAATAACAACCTCCTACAAGGCTAAGAAGAAATTTAAAAGRTACATTTCTAGAAAACAATTTTACCTTGGTCATTGGCTACGAATCTAACACTAAGTCATATACATTTCGTCAAAGAAACAGACATAATAAAAAAAACATCTGGGAAACAAAGTGCCCCAATTACCAAAACATTTCCATTAGGACCAAACAGATACAATTAGGAACATGAGGAACAAATATATCTAAACAAATTACAGAAAAAGCAACAAATACTTAAATGATCACTCTGTATTTTTGTTTRTCATCTTCATAGATTCTTTTTTCTCTATTGCATTACACAACAATCGGATTAAGCTGCTGGAGGTCTTGACCCCAGATTCACRTTGGTTAATGGTAAGTACCAGTGCATGGTGCCCACTACTCTGTCATTTTATTGCTTGAATAAGAACTGAAGCAGGTAACATCTCAAGTACCTCCAAGTCCACATGAAGTCAAAAGGATACTCAGGACTTAGCGGCAAGTAATGCAAATCACTGCTAGTAGAGAAATGCTGTTGCAAACAGATGTTAAACGTTAATTTAGTGACCTAACCCGCCTCATTTTATAGTTTATACGCTACTTTTCTTAATAAAAAGATATATTTTTTATAAGCAGAAACAAATAATATTGTCCAGGAACCAAGAGTATAACATCTCACTGAGAGATGACATGTGTTTATGTTAGATCTAAACTAGATCTGCATCCAAAGAATTTACTTATTCGCAACGTCTAGCGAAGCAGACGCAGCCTGTATCTCTGGAGGGGGTGTCAGCAAAGCCTAGAACAACTGCTCACATTTTCCCAGCAGTGTCACAGACACACGGAGAGCTTCTCTGCAGCCCCACAGTTAACCTCGAAGGCCATATATTCCTGATGAGTCTTATCCAGGGCTTGTCAGCACAGACATCCAAATCAGAGCAGAGCCAAGCATCCAGCATGTGTAACACTGCAGTATAACTTTATTAATGTGCAGGTAATTTGTTATTTTTCAGACTAATATCTAACCATTTGGAAGTATCTGCAARGAACCTTCCAATAAGTTCCAGTAGATGTCTATTTGCAAAAGTATGTATTTGTCTCAGTCAATACTAGAACATGGAGAGCTCAGCACATGTAGAGAGTTAGACTGCGAACTGCTTATTCTTACTAGGTAGCAGATCCCCAAAGAAAAATGTGACTGATTTCAGTGCAGTAACTGGGAGCAAAGGTTTCACCAATTGGCTGGTGGGAAAGGTTTAGAAAAGAATACACCAAAAAGTATTCCTCCTGCAGAATTAAGTTTCCGGATCATAAGTTAAAAAAAAAAATAAAGAGAGGAGTCTTTACAACTCCAATTGTGTGCAGTCATAGGGACAGGGAATTCTCCAAAGGTGGGAATGGGAACTCACCTGGTTTTGTGCCTAGCTAGGTAAACTCTGGTGCCAAAGACCTAAAGCTAGTACTTTCYGTCATTTTCTCTGTTGTGATGGAAAATCTGCTTTCTCCACAGAATTTCCTTGCCCAGCTGGAGTCTGAAGACCCTTTGCAAAAGCTTCCCATCCTGTCAGCGGCAGGGAGGAGCAGGACARTGTTGCATGGGGAACCTTCTATCAATGCCTCACCACCTAGGTCAGGATGTATAGATGGAGATCCCAGTAAAAGGRCTCCTGCTCCCCATGCAAGATGACACATATACTGGTACTCCAGAATTTTGTGTGGTTTATTTGTAGACAGCACAGGATGGGGGCCCATAAGAGAACATAGAACTCTCCTTTTTAAGAAGGAAACAACACTGTTTTCTTCTTAGTAATTGTCAAAAAACAAAACAAACAAAAAAAAAACAGTGTGTAGATGTATAACTACTTTCTGTGTAATGCATACCACTGCAAGGGGAAAAGAATGACAAAAAGGGAAAAAGATTTTCATTTCTTTTTAGTGAAGTCTAACCTCCCTAAGTTCATGAACTCAGTTATCTAGCATTAGCCACTTGTAAAAATATTAGCTTCTGGTTTTCCTGTTTCTTCTCCTGAAGGATTATTTTCAAGGCACATTTCAGGCCCGCTTTTGATTCTAATGCTCTTAAAACAACTGCTAGAAAAGCTGTAATTTAGCCCAGATCAAAAGCAAAATCAAAGCAGTGAAATATTTTATTCATAGCCAATTTGGTACCAAGTGTTTGCTATTTTCCATTGAACTATTTGCTAAACTCAAGCACACAAAAGTGAACAAGCAATGTAYGTGCAAAAAACACTTATGGAACACCTACGATCTTGATGTATCTGTTGCCTGTCTTCACATATCCATACACACGCAAAAAGCCCAGTTCTTTAGAGCTACAAAGAAATGAAGAATTTCCTAAAACATTAAGCTGTTAACCATCAAAAAATGTTCAGAGCATTTATTTGTTGCAGCTCTGTTATGTGCTACATCTCCAACCGATTTTCATTTTTTGATGAGTCCAGCAGCTGTGCTCCCCTGGAACAAGAGCACATCATAAAGCCCAGGATGAAGCATTAAAAAAAAAAAACAGCACACGATGAGGGGAAAAGAGCCAGATGCTCTGTGGTGCTCTTTGGGCATTTGCTACTGCTGCTGAAGTAGCAGCACACCAAGAGCATTCATGTTTTGGCAACAGGAGGCAGCACAAAATTCACCAGTAAGTAGTGCCTCCCCTACCTGTTAGATCCACTTTCCTATGAATCAGGGAGAGTGACTGTGACAAATGGAGCCCGTAATGGCTTTTGAAAGGTGGCCCTTCGTTGTAGTGGCGCACTCCCACTGAAACCAGTGAAGCTGCAGGTCAAAGATCACTTGGCACTGAGCATAAGTGACAAGTACAACAGCCAAAAACACATAAAAAGGCAGAAAGCAGGACAAGCAAATTGTCCCAAAGCACATCCAGGAGAATTCTTGCAGATCTGACTATGATGCAATGCAATTTTGAGRGGCAGGAAGAAGGAGAGGGAAGGATTTTTTAAATTTTTCCCCCCGCCCCAACAGTTCTCACTTGTTCTTAACCTTTGTCATCCAAAAAAGTTTAGGTAACAAACATCTAAATCCTCACAGATTTAGAAACAGATGTGCTGGGGTTAAAGGGACGTTTCACAATTCTCTTGCTGCTGAAGACCTAGCTAGCAAAGGTAACGCCAAGCCACAGCTTCTTCCTCCGCGGAGCCACCCTGGGTAGGAAGCCAGGAGCACTCTGTACTTAGCCAGAGCTGCTGCATTCCTCAGGAGCTTTCCAGAAATCCCCCAGGAGCCACCAAATTGAGTACTTTTTCTCATATGAAGCTAAAATAACAACTTCCTTCTGCAGAAGCAATTAAAAAAGACCTAAATGGGGGAGGAAAACAAGAGTTCTGACCTGAACTAGTCAGGATCACTCCTTTATGCATCTCTTGCAATCGTTTTATCTTGATATAAATAATATTCATGTAAGTTCTGCTTTGCAAATTAATTTCATCAATGTCATATCTAGGAGCTACCAGTCATTCTGAAGCTGCTCTAAAATGCAACGCTCATTCAATATTTTCTTTGAAATTAAATAACATCTTTCATTCATTTTATTTATGATTCAGACTGAGGCCTCTAGCTTTCCTATTAAATATTTTTAAAATTAAATAACGTTAAATGACAACTTATTTCATTGTTTGGCACCTCAGTCTTCCTTGACATTGAATCGATAAATTCTATATCTAAAGCAGGCCTATGGTAAAGAAATAAAAAATACTACCATCTGCCTCATAGAAAATATTAGGAAACAAATGACTGACAAAATAGCAAGCTATTATTCACAGATCATATGAAATGTACATGAATTTATGGCAATATAAGGTATTAGATGGGAAATATTTTACTTGTTTTGTTTAGCTCACCCTAAATCATCTGTACTGTTGCTCAAGCTGACTGCATTGCTTTCTGGCTGCCAGGTCTAGGGCTTGCTTTCAATTAAACTATTTACATACTCAGTGGTGAGCACGCACTTAAGTGCTTGGCTGAATCAGGGCTAACACCTGGCAGGACCAAGCTCACAGGTGTCCCCACTCAGGCTTTCAGCATCACAGACCTTGAATAAGATCCAGAGGGAACTGACTCCCACTGCTTGCTTCCCAAAGCCACATTGGTCTTCCACAGAAACCTACTGCTGGGTTATACCAAGTGCTTTTGATCCAAGACCCACATGTAACAACAGTAATTTTGGTAGGACAGTTTGCATGTAGGAGCGCACCTTATTTTAGATTTCTTAACTTACCTAAACCCAGGAATTTTGGTATAAGACATCACAGTTATTTATATATTCTCTTTTTATTAAGTAGACTTCCAATGTTCTGTAAGAGTATCTCCAGGGTGAATATTAAAGATGGGAAGAGGAAGGAAGATAATGACCTTACTCAAATTCTCAAAGTTAGGATGGGTCACATACAGAGTTTTGTTTTTATCTTCTGCCCAGTAGTAAATACATGAAATAGGTCACTCATACCAAGGTGTGCWGGTCCTTTCAGCGTAATTCTCACACTGCGACTCCCATGCGGAACAGCGATCACAGTCTCTTCCCCTAGGAAAATTTAAGAAATGTTTTAGAACATTGCACCAGGGAATTTGCATATCACACAACAAGRCTGAAAACTGTCCAATGTGTCTCAAAAATACTTAACAGGTTCCACATTTTTTCTATTAAAAATAACCATGTTATTTTATTAAGTACAGTACACCGAGTCTGTTTGCTATACTATGCCACTATTAAGAACTATGTGTAGACTTGTAAATCTTACTCTTTATTGGAAAATTATCTGCTTTAAAGAAAATAAACACACTCAAATTTCAGTAGTGTATTAGGAGCATATTTATACTTTGCTGTCCCAGCTTTTTTTCCCAATCACTGACCTGATTTAAGGAATCTAAGCAGATTCCCCAAGTTGAACTTCCCTTTACCAAGCCCTGCAGCTGTTCAGCCACATGTTGCCCACACCTCATTTCCTGCTGCAGGTCACAGCCTTAATAAGTGGCAGTACTTACAGGAAATAAATCATCTACTTAACACGAACCCTGAACCAATTACAGACCAGTTAAGAGCAAATATATATTTGCTATGAAATATATATTACAACACTATCTGCATCTAGCTTACCGTATAAGATCATTCCTTCCAGTAAGGGCCCCAAATTAAAACTTACCATAAACCAAAMCAGCCCTGAGTCGGACAGGTCAATACAAAATGGCTTTTGGCTGCCTAAAAGGCCTCTTCAAACGTATACCTAAAACACACACTTACTGCTGTACATTTTACAAGGATGAAAGTTATTATTTTCCMTGTGTTATTTTCCATTCCCCAAGGTAGGAAATCGATGATTTGCCCCAACAAGCTGAGTTAACAGTCAAATCAACAGCCTGGAGTGGTTTGCACTGCCACAAGCAGCGCTCTCGGGACCAGGCAGGCACAGTGCCCAGAAGGGCTACGCACCCCAGGCTCACAGAAAAGTCCCCATGGGCACCTGTGGCCACCCAGGCCCGGCCGCCAGCCTGTCCTGCCCCCAGAGCCTCTCGCTTTGGGCCCTGCTGAGCCATGAGCCTTTCCCAGGGGAATTAACACAGGCTCCCACACCAGGAACCTACAAGGAAACACAGCCAGGCAGGGGAACAGGTCCAAACATGACTTTTTCTTAGCTGACATAGAGAAAGAAGCCAGGGACTTGCAAAGCCTTCAAARTGCCACCAAACCACACACTGTGGCAACAGACACAGGGAAGAGCTCCGCTTGCTTCTCCATGAAATCTGTGTCTTAACAGGGAGCCTTCAGGAATTTCCAGCAAGGCAACTGTGGCTGAGGAAATCTATGGAAAGCCAATAAGGCTTCTCAAGTTGACCCAATGCTATCTAACCATCAGCCTTCCCATCACAAGACCAAGGACGCTGCACTTCTTACTCTGACRATGTAAAGGAAAATCACATCCTCCAAATTAATCACAAAACCACAAGCATTTTAGGAAAAGCACACTGTCGGTTTCTCCCAGTAAATAACAGCAATTTTGCCAAAAACCTATGGAAACAACGAAATGTGGMAGTCTATTTTCATTATTTCAGATGCCTGTGCTAATGCTAAGGGCTAGCACAGAGGGATTTCGTTCCTGCAAATTCAGAAAATAATGTTAGCTCAAGGTCAGTGATGCATTGCTCCAGAATTACTCATATAATACTTGGAGGAAGAATATTTGAGTTTAGCTTTTAGCTAAAAAATAGTTGAAGAATATTTCTTTCTACTTTAAACCAGACCCTTTTATAGTAGATGCTAAATTATCAGCTTCTGGTTTACATCTCCTTAGCATAAGTATGAAATTCTGCCAAACATTCAGGATACTTCAAGCAAATGTTGCAATTATTTTTTCTGAAATAAACACCTTCTAATGTTACAGGTTTTATATCGCCAGTTTCTAGGAAGGTCATTTAAATATAACAATTTATTTTGGATGTAATAAAATATGATCTTTATTAATTTCATACTTGGGTATTCCACCAGAGTGCAAAATACTACGGTAAGAACAATCACACAGTTAAGGAGCCCTGGAAAAAGCATTAACTACTGAACCACTTAATATCTTCTTGCATCTTGGTTTTTCATCAGGCGAATTGCTAAAGATAGCCAGAAGGTAATGCATGTGTATATCTTTAAAGTAAGGAAATAACTACTGAATTTGCATGTGCTCTACAGCGTTTGAGTGAAGGCAGGTCTGAGAGGCCCATGTGTCCCTGCCCGGCCAGGGATCGCATCCCTGTTCCACAACCAACAGGAGTGGAGCGCGAGTGCTCGGAGCACGCGCAGCCGCTATCCTGAGGTGGATCCAGGGGCGCTTAGCGGATGAGGCCACGTGCGAGGCCGCTCCTGAGCACAAGCAGGTGCCCCGGCCGCGCTTCCTCCACCTCCTCAGGGCGCCCCGCTTGCCTCTCCCCTGCCCGGATGCTTCACATTCCTTCAGCAACGCTGCAGACGTTCCACCCTCTCCGAAGCACTCTCCAATATGGTCCAAAAGTCTCACGGGGGTGCTAAATTTGCTGTTTCTCTGTGGTGGAGAAAATATTACCAGCAAGCGTTTTATTTGTATTAGAGGAGATGAGGCTCCCAGGAAAACAAGGTTCCGCCTCTGCAGGCCCACAGGAGAGTCATGAAAGCCAACGGCAGGAGATGCTTGTAGCCTGGAGATGATCGGCCTCAGGCAGTTTTTCCAAAAGAGGAAGTAAATTACAGGATAAAAATGAAAGTGAGATGCTTGGAATTCTGAATTGAGATGGGGAAATGGAAGAGGATGGGATACACCTGACCTAAGGGATTCCTTCACATTTGTCTTAGGACAGCTTTAGCTTACTACAAATCTGGAATTATTCAGGTGAATTTCCAAAACTAAATATTCCAAAGGCTTCTGCTTCTCAGTGGAAACCATATAACTCATATTCTTTAAGGATAACAAGTCTCCACCAGGCTGTATTTTTCCATCAGATCATCAGACTCTACAACGATGCAAGCATTGAAGTCTTATTTCCACCTGAAAATCCATACCTAGAATTTCTTTTTTTTTTCTTTTTCTTTTGTATGAACTAGTTCAATGTCTTTGAAAGTTAATTGCTGGCCCTTATCTAAAACTGAAAACAAATAAGCTAAAAAAAATCAGCTGGAACCTGCAGGACTGCYAGACTGTAAAATCTGGATCTAGATAGAGGTCTAGAGGTCACATTAGAAATCACACAAGTGAGGTACTGTCTCCCTGCTGTGATGCTGAGATCCACTTCATGGATTCCCAAGGGACATGGCTCATCTTCCTCCTGCTCCTGACTGCAATGGGCCTGTCCTGTCCATACCTGGGACTCCCCCAGCACACGTGTGCACACACACTACACACAGCACTTGCYGATTAAGCTCCAGGATTGCTTCTACTTTAGATGGCAAGGTTTGATCCTGTTTCTATGGTGTTAATGTGGATTTAGATTCTGGATTTCAACGACAGCAAGATCAGACTCCCTGCTATGGTAAAGACTGGGAGCTAATCCCTGGGATCAAAATAAAGGAGCCACATTCCTGAGCTGCATCCAATTCAGCAGGTTTTATTTATTTTTCCATGTGGGCCATGGCAGACCCATTTACTGTTTTGCATATAGGCCAGTTGGGATTTTTTCCTCCCTTCTCTTAGAGCAGGGCAGAGGATTTATTTCAGGCCTATAAAAACTGTTTCTTTCCATGTATTTGCTCAGTATTTATCTGACCAGTCCTCCAGGCCTGGTCCAAGGCTCTGTGTGCTCTCATGAACTGCCAGCCAAGGGAACCAAAACCTCCAAAGAGTCAGGGTCTTCCTGCAGGGCTCACTTGGCTACTGTGCCTTTAGGCACGTTTCAGAAGACGCTGGCGCAGGATCACACGCTGACCTGTCCCAAAACAGGAATCCATGCAAAGGTCTGCATGGAGTGCATGCACCCTCGGTCTGCCCGAGTCCTTCCCTAGGCAGATCCATGTCCTCCAGCCCCTGTCCCACTCGGCACCTCGTGGCTGTTCCTGAGCCTCCTGACTGCCTCCTCGGCCAGGCCGCTCCATGCGTTCCACAGGAAATATTTCCAGTGTGTGGTGACCTGCCCTTGAGAGAGACAGTGTGGTATCAACTCATTTTAATTATTTACTCACTACTTCTTCTGGAGCTCTTCTGAAATCCGCATGCACTGGGGGAAACTGAGAGGAGCAGTAAGCAAAGCAATGCTTGGCTACCCCGACTTAGTGAACGTTACAGTTGGAGAGGACAGAAACCACCAAGTATCTCCAGAACAATCACATTCCTAAACATCTCATCACCAGAGATTCCAAGTACAGGCAAGAATATTCCAACCCCTCCTTCTATCTTACCTGCCCCAAATACGTACTGGAAAAGAAAGTTTACTCTGGACATCATTCTACGGGGAATTATCCAAATCTCTGTGTTTTCAGGCTTTGCAGACACACTTTTCAACCTTAGTAGCCTTAAACATTTTTGCTGCAAACCGTATGACTTCATAGCTGCCCAGCCCACTGAAGAAAGCTCAAGTGTTTGCAGCTTTGATCAGAAGGCGTGACTGAGTAAAGCTGAAGCTCCACATGAATCCCATGATATATTTGGACCTTGACCCTGGAATAACTACTGGAATTACTTTCAGTAATAGAGGACAGGAGGCAAATGACATGCAAAGCTACTAAATGCAAAATACAAATGCATTTAAAATATAGAGCACCGGAGCACTGACTTCTAAGTTGGTGCTCATGAGCTACTTTCCTTAATCCTATCTTGAATTTAAAGGACTTTTAGTTTAGAGATGTTGAATACTTTACCACATAAAATCCTGAGCTCTCATTTAAAACAATAAAACTCTTTTGCATTTTTTATGTGCAAAGACATACAATTAGCAGCCCATCAAGTAATTTAGTGTGAATTAAGTAACCAAATAGCTAATGTCCTTAAACAAGAAAATTTTGAAGACAGAAATGGGAAGTAAGCAAGGGAGTCCTATGAAATTTATAATAACCCCAAACCAACCAAACGCATTCCTATGATGGAAAAAGTACTGGCACTRTTCCTTCTCAGAAATATGGAAGTGCTGGGCTCATTCCACTTTGTAGAGTGAGATTTAATTTCATCTTTTGGGGTGGAATGCAGCAGAGTGCAGAAAATGAACAAGCCTAMGTCAAATCATGCTGCACACACTTAATTTCAACCTTTCACAGAGATCTCATCTGAAAACTGAAGGAACAGTATCTTAATTGATTTTTTTCTTTGAGCAAGGTTTACTGGGGTCTTCTCCAGCAGAATTTCCTGTATTCTTCAAAAATGGAYAAAAATCCTGAGGAATTCCCTCGTATAGCATAACAGGGCCCTCAGTACAGGTCATCAGGAGTGGAAACTGCAGCTCCATGCCAGACTCTGCAACGTGCATTAGCAGAGAAACAGATATTTTCATCACCTGGGCAGACTAGCCCTCTTTAGTGCTAGTGCATGTGGCAGACCCACTACTAATTGGCATCATATCTATTTGCTGAGGACAGGAGAATGGTCAGATGCTTTTACGCTCTAACCTTAGCATCAATCATCTATTTATTCTCACCTCCATACCTCAACCACTGTCAATATAGTGCTATTTCTCCCTCTGGCTTGCCTGCAAAGTTCCAGTTTCYCCTAAAGATCCAGCTATGCCTACGCTACCAGCCATACAACTCAGCGGTAACAGATTAATAAACCAAGATAATTGTTGCTGAAGACTTAGCATCCACACTACACACATTTCCAGTGGTTTACTTCAGATTAAGTCTGGTCCCATGAAATGCATTTTGCATTAGCTGCTGGAGAACATTAGGTGCTTTTCTGGAGCAGTCTCATCCAAAAGAAATTCAGCTCACGCTCTCCAAAACTATTCTATGATGTGAACTGAGGAACAGTATGCAGGGATCATCTGGAGATCTGCTTTAAAAAAATATATACTTGTTATCCAAACTGAAATACTAATATATTGGCAATTCTACCCCTTCCCACACAGTCTTCCTGCCAAATCAGTCCCAATTCTCTCTCCTGACTCCATGCAGGAATGATTTCTCCCCTTCCTCTCACTCTGTTCCTGATTCCATCTCCCTCCCTAGATTCCTTATTTAATCTCAGTCTCCCCATCTCCCTCTTTTGATAGTTTGGTAAACSCAGTGCATCACTCCTAGATCTTTCTCTCACTTTGTCATATGTCTCATCCGTCGTATCTTCACCTAGGGCCATAGCATCATTTTCTTCTGTCTCATTTGGTGGTGCCCACCCCAAACTGCAGCAGAGCAGAAAGCAACAACAACTACAAGGACACTTTTTAACAGCTTAACTCTAGAACAGGAACCTGATAATTCATTCTGAGGAGATTGCATACGTACAATCTTATATGTGTAGGATGTTGACACATGACAAACCAGTATACATTCAGAAAAAGACAAACTTTTCAGAAATGTTAGCTGCAAGCATCTACGAAGCCCTGAGCATGAAGGAAAGTGGTTTTTTTTTGTTTGTTTGTTTTTGGGGGGGGGTGGGGTGGTTTGCAAGGGGTTATAGTAAAATATGTGTTGATGTGCACAGATATTGCAAAAGCCTCGTCCATGACCAGAAAGCTTCTGCCTGCCAAATTTCAAATCCCTGATCTGTGATCAAGTCCAACAATGGGGGGTGTTAAGGCATATTAAAGAAAAGGTTTCAGGAATGTTTTGACAGTGGGAAACAACATGTTTTTCTCTATCCACGTCCTTGGAATATGCTGAATTGTTCTGGCTGAAAGACATTTAGCACCTGGCATGGAAAGTTTCTAACCCAAGTGCTCAATTTTGAAAAAAACCATTCATTTAAGCTGAAGTATCAGGGAATCTTGACAACAAGGGTTCCTAGCTCCACGTACAATGATTTTAAGGGGAGTCAAAGACAGAGGGTTGCCACAAACCCGAGCCAGCTAATGGCACTACACAGAAAACCTCCTAATACCACAGCACTGAATAACCATCCTAGTACAAGGCCTCTGCTTATATAAATGTGCAAACTAAAATTAGGTTTTTGATAAAGTATATTTGGGATGATGACAAATATGTTGCAGTAGGTGACCAATGGTAAATTACACAGCACCTCAGAAAACAAATACATGAAATGGGAGAGAAAAAAAATAGAGAATAGCTGCAAAGAATTAACTTATTGCTATACTTTATATGAAGCTTTTAGCTTCATATTATTCATATTTACCTATGAAAGCAAAAGCTTGCAAGTATCAAAGACTTTTGAGAATTAAGACCAGCCTATGTCAAGTCTGTGCTTCATTCTCTTAATATCAGAATCTGCAACCTTCCTTCTCGGTATCGGAACCAGAACACTTTCCAACCTTTTCTTGCCAATAATGGTGCAGAAAGCAGACATCAGGGCCCAATCCTACCATTTTTCCATGTGCACAAAGTGCAGTGAAGTTAATGGGAGTTCCATGCATGTAGTAGAAACATCAGGCCCATGATATCTCATTTCCCAATGGGATGGTACATTTTACAATCTATTACACTTTCTGTTTGAATATCATTAGTCAAACCTTTAATCATTTTACCAGAATGTCAGAATCTGGCTTGCTGGCAGAACTCTTTCTTACTTTGTCTTTCAAAGGCAATTAAGTGTTAGTGGAAAAAATAAAGAACTTTTGAAATGACAGTTTGTTTCATATTTGTAAAACAGTAGGACTTCTTTCAGTGCTGTTTAATATCAAGATCTGAGAGAAACGTTTTCTTTAAAAAAGATACAGGAGTTAATAAACCAAAGCAAGTCCTTCATGAAAAATCTTTGCTATCAGTATCTAGACTTCTTATCTAAAACTATGAATCWTGAAAACTATGAATCACGAGTCTTCATGTCCCACTAAAGGCAGTGGGGAGCTTTCCACCAAGTGAAATGAGATGCAGTAGCCTTTAACTGTGCCACAACATCACAGGTGAAATTAAACTATTTTYTTCTGGCAATACCCAAAACTGTAACAAAATGACTCTTTCAAAACCAGACCTTTTCTGCACTGTATTTCCTTTTTAAAAAAAAAAATAATAATTATCAACTTTTAATTTTATTTATCAAGAACTGGCCAGCTAAATTTGCCAAATCAACAAGTTTAGTTTGGGTTGTCTTAGAGCTAAGCTAGAGTTTCCCAAGAAACTGTCCTTCTAGAGAAGAGTTTGTATCAGTATTAAACAGGAATAGACAATACAATTTCCTTTTGATTTTACTTATGTACGCATCAGAAAAAAAAAATATATGTGTGTGTGTGCATATGCCTATATATAAAATGAGACACACAAACATGACTAATACTACAAATACATTATTTAATCATTTTTGCTTCACAAATGCTTAGTTTGTGTCCAGAAACTCAGAGTATTTGTCTTGATGAAGTGCATAAAGAAAAGARCAGCCTCCATAAAAACTCCTCTTTAGCACAGTGCAAATATTCAAGACGTTTGCTTGATGAACAAACACGGGGCTTTATAAATTACTGGACTACATTCTCTAGGCTAAGAAAAAGACCAATAAAGTCAAGGCAAAAGCTGACAAGGATAGTTCATCCAACACATCAAAAAAGGCTGGTTTTGACTTGTGTAAAATTATTTTTGAGAGGATTACCTTTGTTAAACAAACATATTAAATCACAGGAATTATGCACACAAACAGTATCATGTAGCCTAATGTGAAATTCTACAGACAGATACAACTCACTGCATTGTAAGGGAATATGCACTAAGACAATATAAGCTACACTTCAGATTACGTTTATACTTAAGCATCCTCCAGGCAGCAACATAAAATAAACACAAGGAAATATTTATGTGTGCTGCAAAAAGTAGCGGTATGACTCAGCATACAACAGCTTTTAAAATCAGGCCACTGATTTTTAACATCTTTGCATGCACAGAAAGAGTACTGAAACAGATGCAACTATCCCAGACTGGTGATTCATCTACCTGTTTCCATTTGAACTGAACTTGCAACACTGACTTTATTTTAAAAGCAAGAGGCATCACCTGCACATCTGTGGCTGGACAGGAAGGCAAGGGGCACCGGAGCTATCACGCCAATGTGACAAACAGAAGAAACTGGAGAGAACTGCTCCCTCGCATGATAAGTAAATGGGACAAATGTTATATGATGACAGGAGCATCACCTGCAAGGGCAGAGAGCACACAAAGCCACAGGCTTCGACCTGTTCTCCTCCTATCTATTATCTGCTCAAACAACTGGCTTAGCTGGTGAAATGGTCTTCAAAGAAGAGTGGGAGTCAATGCCTCTACGTGACAAACCTGCCCCGATTTGTCCCCCACAGCCTAGTCAGACTCTTAAGGGCTCAGTAAAAGGTTCAATTTTGATGCTCTTCCTCTCCTACTTTCAATATTACTGAGACCCACAAAGCTACTCACAGGAAGGTACTACCTTGAGGAAAAATGGCAGCATCTGAGAGAAATACACAAAACTGAGAAGGGAATATTATTCCCTTTAAGCCTTGTGCTTTTTGCACCATAGTAGTAGTTAATTTGCCTCTGAAGTTCAACTATCTTAGACACTTAAAAAGAAGAAAAGTTAAGTTAAAAAACAGCCACTTTCAACCACGGGCCACAATTTCCATAAAACCATCTAAGATGTTTCCATGATTTAAAAACGTCGCTGCAGCATCACAYATATTGCAACATGAGGATACCCTCTAAAATAAGATGTATATCTTGATGGTTATTCCTGATAGAATGAATTAAGTTGCTCCACAAAAAATGCATATCTCAAATTCTTTCCTAGCTATACCCTAATGTGTGGTATCCCTCATGGAATTTCAATAGACTAATCTAGCACAGATTTTAAAATAAGTAGCTTTGGAAAACTGCAAACAAGTATATAGTGAAAAGGTCAGACTCAGTAATAGGGGTGTTAACATACAAGCAGAAAACATAGTCAAGGATAAATTAACAGAGGATCAATTTGTAACCTACTTTTTTCTGGTGAGAAATGTGCCTTAGCTTGTCCCCTCACAAGCCTGCATGTTGAACCATCTCCTGCACAGATTCCACAGTTGTCTTCCTTGGCATTGCTCCCAAGTTGTCGATCACAGCCTACTGCCTGCCAACATCAACACCACAGTCAGAAGGAGGGCAAAGCTGTAGTAGACATGCTCAGGTTTCTGGAATTTTATTTATTATGTTATCCTTTTGATTTTATGAGCTGGCCTCATTCTTTCAAAGCATATCTTGCTTAAGCTATATAAGATCTTAAAAGCACACCACAATTTCCATGATTTTAATGATGAACCACAACAATTGATATATTTAGCTATTCAAACATAGGAAATGTATGAATCACTTTCCAACTGCATATGTGAATGTACACCATTGAGCATTATTCTTTACAAAGGACAACTGTTTTATTTAGAATTTGTTTTTCATCACCTGTTAAATTACATCTGAGAAAGAATTAATGCAATGAAATAACTCGCATCAAATATTTAAAGGGCACTCAGCCTTCAGCCTCACAGATAAAAATTCCAGACTAGAGATCCATTTGCTGTCCTGTCTATCAACCTTTAATTGACATTCATGTTTATTTCATATTCACTATACACAGTATCAGTTACATACACATTTGTTAATCAGGATTTATAAAACCTGGATGGTTCAGTTCTCTGCTTTTGAYTTAATTTTTCTTCATTGTGAGACCTAATCTTTGCAATATTTACTGGAGAAACATTCCAATCAAATCATTGACAAAAGTGTTTAGAAAGCAAAACTTTTAAGAAACTYTCATCTGAAAGCTCACTAAACTAAAGAAAAGATGTTGCAGATTTCCCTTTTCCTTCAAACAGTCACACAGGCATGCGAATGGGAAGCCTTAGGAGGAGGAAGAGACAACATTGACTAGAAGCATCTGTTTGATGCATAGAGAAAAATATTTGGTCCCACAAGATTTTCCTCTCAGTGTTTGGAAGAAGAAATACACAGGTGTATGAAATGCTAATCAATGTGTTTAAAAACAAATATGCAGCCTCAAGCCTTCTCAAGTTGACCTGTATGCCTCCTACACATACACTTCCCTAAGAAGGGCAGCTAATTTATTGCAGATTTTCTTTTTTTCCTCCCAAACTCAGAACTGACAAATGGATAAAAAGCACTGTGGAAACTTATGGCTAAAAGCAGCACTAGAGCTCCGAAGTTGGCCCATGCTCTGCTCTTCCTATATAAAAAATGCTTGGAAGGGGCAGCCGTCACTGCCAAGATCCGCTGCCTCTGCGCTGTGCCAGAACTGACACACGATCCCCTCGGAGAGCCGGGATGGAGGCCGCGCGTAACAGGCAGGCCCGGGTCTTCCAGGCCCTGAGTAAACACACACACGGAGCACGGATCATGGATAATCACAGCCAAACATGGAAGCGAGAGCGCTGCAAGTCTCGTGTTTCCAGAGAAGAGGCAGTGAAGTGACTCCCTCTCCCGCGGCCCACTCTCCCCAAAGCTGAAGGCTCTCTGGAGGGAGGTTAATGCATGAACTCTATAAGCAACTCTATAAGCAACTCTATAAGCATGTGCACTGAATGGCAGCTGCCTCATTTTTACTTCTTTAGCTGGGCACTTCACAGCAGGTCACAGGCAAGCAGGTTTACACACCGCCTGGGCTTACAGCACTTCTCTCTCCACCTTTCCCCTCTGAAAGCCCATAGGTAGGATGCCCATCCTCTCCACAGGAGCACATGGCCCAACACACCACAGGCACACAGGGCATGCTCTGCGGGGCCAGGACACCAAACCCAACAGGAATCCAGAGGCTATGAAGAAAAAAACCAAGAACTCCAGGCTCCTCCTTAAGGTCACTGGACTCTGTGTTTATACCTGCTACAGGGGTGCTTTCAGACACTGGATCACCAGCGTTGGGAGATGACAGCAACGCCATCCCAAGACTCATCTCCTGAAAGACRGTGGCACGAGAGTCCACATGAAGCGATATGGACTGTCTGCAACTACAGTCACTCAGGCAGCAGCAGCTTCCTGCTCAGTGCAAAGAGGCTCATGTAGCATCATGAGCTAAGGAGCTAAAGAGAATGCTGTTTCTGGGGAAAAGTCATGGAATAAAGAGATCAAAAATATGGGAGACTAAGGTGGTAAGAAAAGTGGCATGGCAGGAAGCACTGTAGAATGCAAAAAGATGAGAGAACATACCCTTCTTGGAAAGAAGGCTGGGAATTCAACATTGAATTCCACAGTGGATGGTTACAAGGGAAATTCACAGAAGAAAAGAACACATATACATCACCAGTGTTGTAATTTAGAATTGCAGTAAAAGCAAAATGTTTTCATTTTAAGATACTATTTCACTGTAGCTCCAGATTCGTGACTGATACACTACGAAAATAAAAAAAAAACCAAAAGAACTAAAGAGAAAAAGATAATAGTGCACAAATGATTCAAACAGTCATACCTTCCTGTTTTAGTAATTGGCATTGAGAAATGAAAGAGAACTACAAAGCTCAAGCAGAAGCTGACTGCACCTTGTTATGAATCAAAAAGCAGATATAATTTCAAAGGGCATAATAATTCGGTACTTGACACATTGATTGGCCTTAGCCTTGACAAGCCCCTTGCAGCTCCCTGCTCCACAACAGACCGACCTCCTTCCTGACTGCTGGCATCTCCCTTCATCCTYCTGTGCTCCTCTGCTCACCCGGGGCAGGGCTGTGGCTTCCACTCCCCACCTCGCAGGGTTCCATGAGAGCAAATGTCCTGAAAGACCCAGAAACACTTGCATGTGGCAGCCACGAGGACCATACAAGTAGTTGAGAGTTTGTATTCCCCGAGGCGAGGCTTTTAAAAATATTTATGGCTCCCCACCTGATTCTCCTGCTCTTATTCTCGTAATGATAATACTAGCACATGGAGGTAAACTGTTAAGACTACTGCAAATATAATCTCTCCCCAGATCCCACAAACACGTTGCTATTTTAGAGCATAATCTCATTTTCTGAATATTAAGAATATGTTTATTCACTCATCAATTAAATCTCAAAGGGCAAATTAAGCTTTTCATTGTGATACTCTATGTGAGAAATTGCTGTTTTTATTAAACTATTGTATGTTTGTAGGCTACAGAACCTGCAAGGTTTCGGTGGGAGGAAAGTGTTGAGCAAGCAGAGGACTTCCAAGCGCAGCCCCTTAAAAGTCCAAAATGATGATAATAAACATACAGTATAACTGGGCCATAAYGCACACTCAATGTGAACATAAAGTCTTACCACATAGAACAACTCTATGAACAAAAGCCACTGTTCTGTCCAAATACAGGAAAAGGGTAATCAGCACAACAGAATACACCAGGGAAGTTTCATGTTTATTGCTTTTGTTTTCTCCTAATAATGCACAAGAAGACTTGGATATGGGCAAATCTTTACAGCTCCCCTGCCTGCAAAGGTGCTATGTTCAACTAGATGTATTCACCCTCGAGGGGTCTTCCTTCCAAAAAAATCCTGCTTACCTCAATTGCTATGAATATGAGTATCAAGCAATGATATCCTGGGACACAATTTAGAAAACAGCACAAATCAGCATCACAGTCTAGGCCTAAAGTTTGTATAAAATGTTACACCTTAGCACTCCAAAAGCACTCCAAAAATTCAGCCCGTTTTGATGGGACTGGTCTCAAATTTGAGATCTTGAAGTGTTGCTACCCTAGGATTTTACTAAGCTATACATCAAAACCATGATCTATGTCAAACTTTAGTGCCTAGAGACAGTCCCTTGTATCTCTCTTTGTAAAATATTAAGTGTTAAAAAAATACAATAAAACAACACAGTAAGAATTTTTTTTTTTTTTTTAAAGACAAGCTGGATAACTGCAGATCTTGCCAAAATAACAGGAAGCTGCAATGTACAGCTTTGGAAACCAGGCCCCAGCACCTGAATGCCATATATGGTGTTTTGGCACCAAATATAAATCAAGACATTAGTATTTCAGCCTGTMACTTTCTTTGTAAAACAAAGAAGTTAATTCAAGAACCATTTTAAAGAGGGCACCTGTATATTTGTATGCAAAACTGCAACAAAGATAAGAAAAAAAAAAAATAACACAGAAAAAAATCTCTCCTCTATACAACATCCTAGCAAGCCAGAGAGGTCTGATGATTTTCATGATTAAATGTTTGTTCGGGTTAATTTAACCCACATTGCTARCTGTTTACAGAGCAAAGGGATCAGCTATAAATATTATAGGCAGAATGGGAGAACATCTGCAGAGTTTTAGGCCATAGTCAAAAAATAATTATATTAAGCTATTTTAACATGGACTACATAAATGAAACAAGCAACAATACAAACTGTAAAATGGAAGAACTGGGAGCCTTTTACACAAAAAAAGAGTCATAAATACTATCATTAAAAAAAAAAGCACACACAAGTACTCTAATGATTAGGTTGCAGCCAAGTTAGCCCAAGCAAACTGAGCTGGGAGAACACTGACCAAGATGTAGCAGGATGAAAAATACATGAAAATTCAATATACAAGAGAATTTTGAGGAACGGATATATCACAGATTTAATAATGGTGTACCTATGTCTTTGGATAGGCTGAAATTGTTTTTGGAAATCGCCTGATCCATGACTGTTTTCAGACAGAGCCTGAATATAGTATTTGTTTCTTTTCTCACCCCTCTCCCTCAAATAAAAACAGAACAGTGCAGGAGAAAAATATTATTTTGTTACAAGCTGCCAGAAGAGAAAGCATTTGGTCAGGTAGTAAAGAGCTGAAATACTCACCTGCCTTAACAGTGCAGTAAACTAGATGTTAGTATCCTAATGCTGTTTTGAAACACAAAACTAAACTAAGGGGTGTTAAATATTTTGTAGCATGCTTAGAATAGTTTGTGAAGTTCAGAAAGGCAAAGGAAGAGTAAAAGGTCAGCCTATAAAAAACAGTAATACAAATGAAAAGGAAAATGGAAATTGCTGCTGATCTGCTAGAGGTGACAATGGAACATCATAAATACTTTTTACAAATACAAAACCAGAAAGCACTCAAAAGCTCCTGCTACCTTTTTTTCTGGTTCTTAATCACTAAATCCTTAGCTGAGGAATTAGACTTAAAGA